TGATGATGATGGAGGAGAAGAGAATGGAATTACAGCTTTGCATTTCCTCTACCGACATGCCGATGTGAAGGCAAATCAAACTTGTGGTGAGGAAGCTGGGTTTAATTATTTCATACTCATTTAAAATATTTTATTTAGTTGTATGATCTGCACTGAATTCTGCAATTTTTGTCTGTGACATCACTGAATTCACTGTAACTTACTGAAATGCCTTATTAAGATTTTTGCAAATTCTACTAAGTGTTTGATTAGCCATGATCCAAACAATAATGAATTATGAAGAAAGCAGTCTTCTGGGATTTGGCACCGTGTATATGTGGTGTTAACCGACGTTTCGGAGGAATGTATCGCCCCTATCTTCAGGGTAACGGTAAAGCAGTCTGCTTTACCGTTTCTCACGGTATTAAAGAAAACATGCCAGTTTCTACTTACCAATTTGTTCACAAAATAAGAAGTTCCAAGTAATGTCTAATATACTCCCATTCACACATACACAGTACATAATGGACAATAGAATTTGAAAATGAATAGTTCTTCAGTACTTGGTAAAGAAGATGTATTTCAAGTGTTGTCAGTTTTAACTTATACTAATAATATGCACACATTCTGTTCTTTTTCAAACAGTATTAATGGCATAAATCTAGTTCTTATACTGTGAAAGGTGTAAATACAATACCTAGGCTGTAAGTCAGAAATAATGACATCATCAGTATAAAGTCTTTTAGTCAGTTTATGCCCTTTATAATTTTTCTTTTACAAGTGATCCATAGCCCATAACCCACACAGAGAGGACAGTTATACATAACACTAAGTTACTAGAAAACATGATGGGGATACTAACTCACAAGAGCACAGGATTATAATGATACAATTTTTTCTTTATTTTCATTTTTCATTTCATTTCATTTATTTACATGTCAAAAATCCTTTACAAGTTCGTAAGACTCAGGATATAGACAATAGTCCAATATAACAATTAAATATAATAATTAAAAAATATATAATACATGTTAAAATATTTATGTAAACATAATTTTAAAATTATAAAACTTGTAATTTAACTTTTCATTAATTAAGTATTTAATCCCAATAAAATCAATTATCAATCTTCTTAACCGTGTAATCAAAAAATTCATCAATACCATAAAATGAATGTAAATGGAGAAATTGTAATAGTGCTTTCTTGAATCGATTTTTGTTTTTGGATAACTGTTTTATTTTGCGTGGAAGACTATTATAAATTTTGATTCCAAAATACTGTGGACCTTTCTGAAATGCTGTTAGATTTGACGAGGGGAGATGCAAATTTGAACTATTTCTTGTTACAGTTGTATATATATCTGAATTTTCTGCAAATAAATCCATATTATTAACTACAAACATCATCAAAGAATATATATATTGAGAGGGCAGTGGTAATATTTTCAATTGTCTAAAGATTTTTTTACATGAATCTCTGTTTCCAGCTCCCACCATTATTCGAACAGCTCTCTTCTGCAATTTAAAAACGCACATACTGAGAGTTCTATTTCCCCAAAAAATCAAACCGTAAGACATCACTGAGTGGAAAAAGGCGTAATACACCATTTTAAGGGCATCAATATTTAAATACTGTTTGGTTTTCCTAATTATGTAACAGGCTTTATTTAATTTACCTATAATTGAATCTATATGCTTTTTCCAAGATATACATGTATATATGTACAATTACCTTTAGTGCACTTCAAAGAATAATAACAAAAAGAATCTAACAGAAATATACATAAGTAATTCAAACAGTTGTTGAATTTTAATTATTTGTAACAGTTTTATGTGCTATGAATTTTTAAACATAATAGTTATAGAATAAATATGTATGTAATAGCTTGAATATTAACCTGTCAAACCTTCACAGAAAAATTTTAATTTTTGTGCGTTGGTTTCCAGGATACTCAGGGACACCACATCATATCTTAGATAATCAGGAATTTAACAGAATTCTCAGGGTAAGTTTCCGCTTTTTGATATAAATTATCAATTATTCTCATCTTGTATTTCAACCACTGGCAGAACTATTTTATGTAAAAATTATATTGGTGCCCACTTAGTTTTAAATACATTAGATGCCTCTCCTGAGTGCAGAAGATACCTTGCTTTGTTCTCAACTATGATCAGCGATATTTGTTATGCTTATCAACAGCTGCAAGAGAGATTTGATTTGAAATGCAGATTGATGCAATAACTCTTACAATTATGTACTCCTTACCTTTTTAATAGTTGTGTGTTATTTTATGTGTAATTCCCACCTTTTGATTTGCAATGACCAAAATCTTTTTTAATATTAACTATATATCATACAAATAACGTTTATTTGATAGTATACAGTGAACTTTTATAATCTTCACTAATGGTTTCACTGTTTTCATCAGTACCTGCAGGAAACTTATTGGTTAGAACTTAGCAGATAACAGTCCAAGATAACATGCTTGGTAATATGGTATATTGAACAATCCTCATGAATAGGAGGTATAATCACTAATACTAAATATAGAAGTTAACGTAAAGAACCTCACAGGAAATAATAGCAGTTAGCATCAAATAAAATATTTTTGTTGTCAACCAAAATACATTTATTTGCAATACTGATAATAACAGTACTAATATACATGAAAACTGAAGTCAGATAAACAGTAGAGAAATACTAAACTGTAAATTATTATAAGTATAGTTAAATTACTGCTACAGTTTATAAATTATATCATACTTTTAACAGTCTGAATTGTATTGTATTGTATCGTATTTTATTTTCATCCATTTTGCTACCTAGTAACACTTGGACAAGTAATTCAGCAATACAAGTTAACAAAACAAATCTTCTAAGTTACAAGCATACTACCAACGTTTGTTACAATCATAAGCAATATATAAATACAACATTTAAAAAAATACACAAACTACTATATACAGCTCGTGAATGGCTATGACATCCAAACATAAGTACTTGCACCATCTGCTTTTTTATTAAAACTAACAAATTCATTTATCATATAAAACGATTGTTTCAATAAAAATGATTTTAAGTCCTTTTTAAAAGCTGTCATATATGATGAATGAAATCAAGGATCTTTACTCAGTAAAGTTGGAGGGAAGCTTGAGTTTCCAAGGAAATCACACCTTGTTACAGTTCTTCATACCAGCATGAGTGAAATAACTGCTACATGTTTGTATTGGTCTCTTTAAGTATATACATTTGCTTCTTTTTAAGTTACTTGTGTATAATGAAGTTACTAACCAGATTCCAATCTTTCTTGATTGACTTGAAACAGAAGCTTTCAAAACTTGTGCAGTGACAGTTATATAACATACTATGTCATAATTACTTAGACAGGTAGGATGCTGGAACTAATTTAAATTATGCAGTTAGTGAAGGGAATTTGTTGTTGGTTTGGGCACCCCAGTCACCTATCATGGCCTCCTATAAGACTAGGAATCATATTGCATTAATACATTTGTGTGTGTAAGAATGAAAATGCTGATGATGTTGCAGTACAAACGCAACACAGATGTGATTCGTGGGCCATACAATGCCAACAGACAATCGCGATATGTTGAGTTGGTGCTAGTTGTGGACAATAAAGAATACAAAGAGCTGGGAGAAAGTCGAGAGAAGGTGAATCACCATTGCAAGGAAATTGCCAACATCATTAATGCTGTAAGTAATTCTACATCATAAGTGATGTTATATGCGTGGTATCTCTTCATATTGAGGAAGAACATAAATGCTAAGAACTAAAAATTAATGTGATGAACAGTTTCACTTGTGACTTATGTGCTAGATGTATGGATAGTACCTTGAAATAGTTAGTGACTGTTTTCTTCCATATCCTTGACAATTCATTTTCATTAATCCTAATCTTGACGCTTCGTTGCCAGAACTACTGATAGCATTGCTAAATGAAAAGAAGGAATAGAGTCACATGATCATTAACCTTCTCGAAACTCAAGTTGAATAATTGTTTGAAATCATAAAGTTTTGTTAAGATCACAATATCTGTTATTTAGTTATAAAGCTCTTGCACAAATGCTCTTTTTAATTTATACAGGGCATTCAGTCAAGGAGGAAACTTCGCAACACCGTTGACTGGACCCACTACTCCTCACAGATTGCTGCTGTAACTTTAACTGTAACGACACATGTTTATCAGTGCTAATACTCATTCTGCTATCAGCAGTTACAGCGGCAATCTGAGGAATTTTTGGCTGGGTCAGTGGTGTTGCGAAGTTTCCTCCTTAACTGAACACACTGTATATAGAGACTACACAGATACTGTGGTCATCACAGCCCACTTCATTCTCTTCAGAGGCATGCATCCTGATATCAGTTGTCATTTGGAACAGTAATGCACTACAGAGGAAATCATAATTCCTAGACTGTATCAGTCTTGAACAAGAATTGTTTATGTCTGTATAGTTCCAATTGAATATATAGCGTTCATATTTCTGCATTATGTTGCAGTTGTATGTGCCGCTCAACATCTTCATTGCACTGGTGGGAGTTGTGGTTTGGACAGAATATGATGAAATTTCCCTCTCACAAAATGGAGATACAACGCTGACAAACTTCTTGCATTACCGCCGTGAACGATTGGTCAAAGAGCATCCAAACGACAATGCACAGCTGCTCACGTATGTTGGATTTAGAGTTGTGTACATTATACACTGGATGGTACTGCTCCTGATGAAGAGGTGGCAAGACATTATATAAGAAGAAGTTCTGAGAAGAACTAATAGCCTGCTTTCCCTTGATATGACTTGGTCTGCATAGAAAACGAAGACTCCCACAATTCTTCATTACCACGGGAACATATATACCAAGCTGTTACCTGGCAACAATAAGGGGATACACAGACAGACCCACAGACACTTGCGTCCAACAGTTCTTCTGTTGTTGCTGGTATTCATTGCCACGGGAACATCTTTACCAAACTGCTGCCTAGCTATGAAAGGAGGGATACACACACAGAGACGCAGACAGATGGGAGGGTTTTATGAATACGTCCTTGAGATGTGCTCAGGTGCCATGATAAATGTACCAAGTTTCATTAACATTGGTTTAGGCATTCAAAAGGTAACTGGGTGGATCCAGAGACACAGATAACATGGAAATCATGCATATGCCTACTTTCATTTTTTTTCAAAATAAGAAAATTAGGCTGAAAACCAGAGTAATGATACAAAATATCTTTATTTGAGAGAGTTGCACAGATAAAAAGTGTTAGTCTTCAGTTTTATATTCCATTCTTATTTATATATGTGTATACTTCTGGGTGCAGATTACATGTAACATTTCTTATTTTATTTTATTTTGAGCAAGCATGGAAGTGTTCATATTTGCTATTTTGCGGTGGTGTTGTAATTATTCATTTTCATTTAATTTTTATCATTTCTTGACCAGATTAACTTCATCAAACTTATATTAAACATTGTCCAATGCCAGGATCATATTTATTATATAATTAGGGGTTCACAGATGGCTTTCCATACCTTCAAGTGAGAGGTTGTCATTATTCTGACAGATGTCCTTAATTGTTGTTGTTGGTGGTGTGTTTTTTTGTTTTCTTTTGGGGAGGGGGAGGCACAGAGACCTTTGAATATAAAATTTTGGTGAAACTTTGCCCTTGTAGTATGATGACTATCTTCACATGCTTGCGGGATTGTGAGCCACTGTGGTGATCTAGTACTTAGCTGATAACTTTGGTCTATTAACTAAAGAACTTTGCATTATAATTCATAATTTTGTTTATGTGGTGACTGCTGTATTACTAGTTTTGTGTTACTGTAATTGTATCATTCAGTCACATAAGACTCACAATTCATCGTCTAAATACTTTTGTTGAGGCAATGATTTTATTTCTGATCCATCACAGGCGAGTGCAGTTTGAAGGTGGTGTTGTTGGTAAAGCTCTTAAGGGCCCCATTTGCACATTTGAGTTCTCTGGTGGTGTGAGTATGGACCACAGTAACGTGGTAGGGCTGGTTGCCACAACTGTTGCACATGAGATGGGGCACAACTTTGGTATGGAACATGACACAAATGAGTGCCAGTGTCCAAGTGAGCGTTGCATTATGGCACCCTCATCTAGGTGAGAACATTCTTCAAATTTTTCAAGTCACTTATTACTTTGTAGAATTTGAGGTTCTCACACTGGTGGTTATGAAGAGTTCTGTCTTCTGGGATGTAATTGTGTGTAGTTCGTTGAAAGTCAACCGACATTTTGGAGGATGACGTTGCCTTCATCTCCAGTGTCAAAGAATAAGCCAAGCAAGAAACCAATGTGAAAGCAGGTGGCAAACAGAGCTCTGCTTGGCTTATTCTTTGACACTGAAGATGGAAGCAACATGCTCCTCTGAAACGTCTGCTGACTTTCAATGGACTACATGCATTATATCCCAGATGATATAACTATTTATTTATTACTTATTAATAAACATATCGATTATCTTGGGCCTCTTTCATCATCTCTTTTTTTCCAAACACAGCTTTTTGGAATATGGGTCTGAACAATTTCCATAACATTGTGTTTCAGAAAACTCAAGATGATGGAAAATGTTCAGAATAATAGAAATGATTGTTAATTGGTTGCTGTACTTGCTACATATGTTGCTGTCATCAAACTGCACATTTGACAAAGATGGTACAGTTCCGAGCAAGTACATTACAGCTGCAACTGTCTGTTTTCCAGTCTTCATGTTTGATAAGCAGTCATATTGTAGTGATACTACATTCCTATGTTAATGAAGTTGTGGTATGAACTGACGAACCTTGTTTTTGTATTTCTATCAGTTCAATGAGTCCAACACAGTGGAGTTCTTGTAGTTTAGAGTACCTGGCACTGGCGTTTGAACATGGGATGGATTACTGTCTGCGCAACAAGCCTCAAAGGTAATCCCACAAGCTCATCTTATGTGACAAAGGCCTTTGTGTTTCTGGTTATTTTCTTACTTTGCAGAGATTCATTATTATCATTCCCCAATATTGGCTACATTGGCCTGTGGAGGTAAAGGTGAAGGTATCTGTCTGTTTAATTAAGCACCATTTCCAAAAGATGTGTGGGGGAGTGCAGTTATAGCTCCAGGCATTCTTTACCTTGGCACTAGATGGAGGTGAGTGGTCAAGTTCATATCCTGGTTGCTTTACATACTTCAAGAGGAAAAGTTCTCGGTACCCATTGAATAGGAGGCTGTTTGAATCCCAGAGCAGGTCTAGATGCAGAGGAAAAGAGAAAACTCTCTGACTCTCTTGAGAATCAAGCCCTGATTCTTTGGTCTTTCATTACATAACCTAATCATTATACTGACTGCCCCAGCTCTCAAATTGGATTGTAACAGGTGACACAAAATAGAATCATCCTAGAAGACCATAATCTTAATGCTTAATATCTGGGGAACCACAAATCTCATACTCAAAACAACTTCTCAAATGAAGAATGGTTCATTAAGAAATTCAGTACGAAGGATGAGCCTGTAGAAATCACAGCATATATTTATGTAACATGTACATCACCCTTGCCTACTATTAACAGGAAGTGTATGTTTGTATGCATGATACTAGAAACTGTAGAATCTTTATAGTTACAAATTTGTAATAGTGCTAGAGTTGTTCTAAACTAATGATATTCAGCAAATGCATTCTTCAAGCGAACTTAATATATGTAGAGCTTAGAACTGTAGAACTTGAACCAAAAATACATTTACAGTGCAACAAAATAATAGGTTTTGCTGTTGCTTGTGGTCAGTTTCCTGGCAGTTTTATTATTTTGTCCTAGAGAAGAAATAAGCAATCATTATTTTATGCAGTTCTTACAAATATTAATTATTAGTTTTTGTTTTATATGCCCTATTCCTGCCAATATACTAATCTAATTAATAAGGAAACAAGTTTTGCTGACTCTGTGATTTTATGTGGCTAGTGTTTGGAGGTTGATATTCTATTGCTTGTGATTTATATACATGTTACAAGATGGCCCAGTTATGCAAAATATTTGATTCTTAACACTTTCTGAATTTTATTTTGGCCAGAGATAAAAGGGTTACTGAATTTTTAGAAAATATTATGGCACTTCTTGCATAGACTGCACCTTTAAACTTGGCAGTAAGAGTGTTGTGGGGAGCCAGGTCAGTGGAAGGTGCAGATACTGAAGAAATTTACAGACATGCAGACATACATGTTTTTTAAAGGCTTATATAAGGATTTTGCAATAAAAATGCTTTGAATTAGGTGAATAAAACCTGTCCTACTCCTGTCGAAGTAAAATTTGAATTGTCATCACCAAATTTGTCTCTTTGCCAGCCTGTTTGATAGTCCCGTGTGTGGGAATGGATTTGTGGAGGCTGGTGAGCAGTGTGACTGTGGAATGAAGGGCCACTGTGACAACCCTTGCTGCAATGCATCCACATGTATGCTGTATGCCAATGCTTCGTGTGCTACAGGCGAATGCTGTGACCTGAAGGTATGAGGTCAGAAATTTGTGTTATGGTCACATATAGCTGTTAGACACGTTAGAGGGAACAGAGGACATTTAATAATAGATAAGGAGATTATAAAGAAATATGGAGTATGAGGGGGGTACGCGGTAGCATAGTTGGTTGAGGCACTATGCTACAAGCTGGAAGGTCGCGGGTTCATGTCCCAATGAGGTCATTGGATTTTTTTCAATTGGCCTAATCCATCCAGCCGCACTATGGCCCTGTGGTCTCCTCAGCCTCTAACAGAAATGAGTACCAGGAATTAATTAAATACTTTTCCTGGGAAGTAAAGCGCAGCCAGCATGTAAGGCTGACAACATTACCGCCATCTTTGAGCCGATTGTCTAGATAATGTGGGATCCTCAACATCTCACAACCCTATGGGCCTTCATGGCCTGGTACAGGGATAGCTTTACTTTTTTTTTTTTATGGAGTATGAGATTTTGTAGAATGATTCATAATTTCACTTCCAGTGAGTCAGTTTCAGTAATTTGTGTGCAGAGTTCCTGAAAATCAGTTCATGGCTTAGAATGTGGGGTTGTGAATTGAAACACCTGCAGTTAGGCCCAATAAAAATGTTGTAAATACATTTATGATTAGATGTGATTAATAGATTCATAAGCTGTTAATGCTGTTGGACTCTTCTTTTGTCACCTGATGATGGAAATAGAAGCAGTGTCACCAAGCACGTTGGTGTAGAGGTAATGCTTCTTGCATTGTGGAGGTACTTGGTTGAGATTCTGCCTAGGACACAAATCATCCTGACAATTTTTTTTGTGTGTTTTTCTTCAGTACCTCCAGACAACAGCCAGATAGCATGTCAATTTTGTTATGACTGTTTCCTTCTAAATTCTTTCCACTTCATTTTTCATCTGTCATCCTACCATTCAGTGTTATACATTCCACATACTGGCAGCACTGTATAATAAATTATAAGACTTTGCTTTCCTTTAACCAATATGAGAAAGTGGGCAATGCCCAGCATTTGTGTCAGTTCAGTAACACACTTTCATGACAAATATACGAACTGAAATAATAATTATGTTTGTCATTCTTATGATTTTCTGTGTTATTGTTATCTGTCACTTCTTTGTCAGACCTGTCGGCCCAAGACAGCAGGTAGCATTTGCCGAACAGCAGACCATGAATGTGACCTCCCAGAATACTGCACAGGACAATCAGAGTACTGTCCTGATGATGTGTTCAAGATGGATGGTGAATCATGTGACAGGGGCAAGGTGAGTGATGATAATGCACAAAAATGTAATGATTTGGATGGTGCAGTGGTTTCCTTCTGTTTTAAAGAACCTATTTTGGATTCATTTTGTTTTTGGTATAATTTATAAGTGAAATTTTCTTACATGTTCTTGACTAGTTTGTACTGATATGACATAGTTATATTGTCGTTATCTGAGTTACTTTATTTTATTATTGGAAAACTCAGATATGACAGGATATCATTATTCTCATAGCTTTATTCCCTTAATATCAAAGCTCTAACTGAAAATGTTCTGTATGGTGATTGTATTGTGATAACCACTAGGGCATTGGGATGGTGAAATTAAATTAGTATTCAGATGGCCCAGTTGCTGTAATAAGAGAGAGAATATAAATTAAGAGCTTTCACTGTAATATTAACCAGACATTTGTAGATACTGTAGGTGTAGAATCTGTTTCTGAGACATCATTGTGTTATAAATATGTCTTACAAGAATAATGTCCAACATGTTGTGCTACCAGTCGCTCAACTAATATCACACATCTATAGAGTGTCACTGTTCCAGTTGTTATTGCCCTTCATTTTATTATCTGTGACATTTTTTTCTAGCAGGAAATTTTTTAGAAATTCATCTTGATATGATATTAGTAATGTTTGAAGTCTTTCACTGAATTGAATTCAGTAGCTGTTATAATCTTTAGGAAGCTTGTGCTTAATAAGAACCAACAGTGTCTAAGTGTGACTTGTAACAGAAGTGGAATATCAGCTGAAATTATGATCTGTAATGTGATTCCACATATTTCAGTAGATGGGTACAAATATTTTGGAAGAACCTGCTGCCTCCATCTTGAGGCAAGCAGCTGGTTCCTTCAAAACAGTAATACCCATGTACCAAACTTCATGACATTACATTACAGAAAACTGTGATTTTGATAGTCACTACTGTTAAAACTTCAAATCTTTCACACTAATTCTAAAAAATGATTCACTATACACAAAGTAGTCTGAATTACATAAAAAAGTGTCAACAAGTTCCTTGGTGAATGTTTTAAAATCTGTCATACATTTAATGAGAAATTTAATCTTAAAATATACTTAAATCTCGAAGTGAAAGGTTAGTCCCATGCAATCAAAATATACTGAAACATTTAGAAGATGAAAATATTACATATTGACACACGCACAGGATTGGATGGACCCTCAGATGGAGATGCAAGTGGTAGAATAAACAAACTGTTAATGGGTGTTGGTACTGATGGATCAGACAGAGGCACACATGATGTGCCCATATGACATTCTTAGTTCTATGCATACATATGTGGAATTGAAATGTGCATGAAGATTTGGGTGTTCTTCCACTTCTCAGTAAGCCTCACAGCCTTTATCCTTTGGTTGGAAAAGAATTGTGACTAATGTATCAGTCATTTCTGTATAACTACTGATGATGAATATCAACAGAAGAAGCATCTATAATGTATGCAGTTAAATTTCAATTTAATGTTCCTTCAATCAGGGTTTCCCTCCATTTTATGTTCAGTTTTCATGGTCATCACAGTTATGACAGTATCAAAATTTTCCCCTGTTTAAGTATTCAAATTTGTTGTCCCCAAATGGAATCTTAAATAGGTGTTTCACATATTGTCTTCTGGGATGTGATGCTGTGTAGCCTCGTAGAACTCTTCTACCCCATAGTTGAAGGCAGCAGGATCCTGCAAAATGGTGGTATTATTTTACTGGGCTAGATAACGTCACATCCTGGAAAGCTGTAATCTTCATAGTCACCACTGTGAAAAGGTAAAAATGTTGATTTCACTTCCTGTTTGTAGAACTGACACTGTGTATGTAGCTCATATTTTTATATGTTGGTTTAGGCATTCTGCTACCAGGGTTCATGTCGAACGCACTCTGATCAATGTCGTCTGTTGTGGGGCCCTACAGGCAAGAGCTCAGATATGCAGTGCTATCAAATGAACACCAAGGGCACTCGCCATGGAAATTGTGGTTACAATCGTCTGAACCAGTCCTACATGAAGTGCAATGATAAGTGAGTTTTTTCTAGTGTATAGCCTGGTTCTGCAAACTTCCACTCTTTGTATAGGAAGAGTTTAGAAATGTGGGAATTGTTTTGTATGATTGTGTTCTTATTTTTAACTGGTTATGTACTGCCACTGATTGATTAATCAGTTAATTAATCATAGGTGAAATATGTTTTACCACAAAAAAACAAGAAATCATTCATTGTAATAGTTATATTAAAAATTATAATTTAATATCTGAGGCTAGAATAGGATATTTTCCCAGTAAATTACATGTATATGGGACATTTTGAGATAAGGAAAATCTTAGGATTGAAATCATGAATTGTTAATCAACATAATATTAGGAATTACTTGCATCATGAACACAGTGATGTCAGACTATGTTGCACAAATGTAATATAAGTGGTTTGTTGTGGTGGTTCATGACATCAAGTTAAGAGGTTATTCATCTTCAACAAATTCATTGAATCTATATCTAAGTTTGGGAAACCTATTGTTCGGTTTCTGATCCTTTCAGTGAAAGATGGTGGCAAGAAGAATGGCAGAAGAGGAGAAATGCAACTTAATTTGGTTGTGAACCCTATGGTAAAGTCTGAGCTTTGGCAGAATGAAGGCCTACAGATATCTGAAAGCACAGTAAAATTCCACAATCAGATTCAAGTGTGATCAGACTGGAATTCTCTTAATTACAATGTGATATCTTACCAAGACACCATTAGGATAACTTTTTTAAAATTTTGATTTGCATTCAAAGTTTGTAAATGAATTATGCTGAATTTTATGATGCCAACTAATTGAAAAGAGAACATTTATTAAATAATTAATCAGCTATTCTGAACTGACTACTGAGTAAACTCTTTCAATGGTGATTTTGTTTTAATAAATCCTTCCTATAGTATATTTCAGTGATGTATAATTTTCATTTCTGAATTGCAGGAATAATGTACTATAACTGCTGAAAATGACAGGATGCATTTATTTTACTCATCTTCTCAGACCCTATACCAATTCAGGCCATTAGGGCCAGAGCTTCTGTCAGATACATGGCATATAGCACATAAAAGAATAATATTCCTGATTACTTAGAATCACTGAATTGGCAGAATTTAACATTCACAAACTGCTGTGGGACCCATGATGAAGAATAGAAACCTGCAATCATGTTGCTGGCATTTGGATCCCATTGTACAGAAATCTGCATGTCCTGTAACTATTGCAGTTGAATGACTGATATAGAAAGTAATTGCTGACCATGTGAATGTTTCAGTAACGTTTACTGTGGCATGCTGCACTGCAGACATCTGAATGAAAGGCTTGAGTTTGGGATGGAATCTGTGGCCATCCTGTCACACTCATTCATCAACTCAGGTGGTGACATCATCCCATGCAGAACTGCCATTGTGGATCTGGGGCTTAACCAGGTGGACCCAGGACTGGCTCCTGATGGAGCCAAGTGTGGGGAAGGAAAGGTATTTTGAAATTCCAGCTGCTCGCAGGAACAATTGAAAGTTGCAGAATATGCATCAGATTAGAGTAAGGCAAAGCTGTCTCTTCAGCTACATGAAATAGTAAGAATTCGAAGGTAGCAACATCATAAGGGCAAAAAAAGGGGAGAGAGTCGTTGGTCAACAGAAAGTTGTGGAAAGAATTTACACTGTCTGCTTTTCGTTATATGCTACTTTTTACATAAGGAGATTAACACAAATTATTAATTAAAAATTATGCTGCTTAGTGAAAAATTTCTGCTAATACAGATCTATAATTGCTTGAAATCTGTCACTCATAATGTCAGAGATTCATGTCATAACTGCAGTTTATAATTTTCAATGCATATACATAAAACTTCAAACAAAATTTTGAGTTATCGTTTTTTATCTAACTCCATACTAAAAGACCATACCTGTTCATCATGTTCATATTTCCTGCTTAAGAAAAAGGTGCTGACAGGAGTTGGATTTTTCTAAGACTTCTCCTATATAGGGTTGCTGTCATTTTACTCACCCCATAACTTTGCATGTAAGAGTCAGTGAAAGTAAATAAAATAATATGGTGTTTGGATGAACTCATGTGAGCATTTTATTTAGTTTTCTGATGTTTTTTTAGAAGTTGATAGTAATCACACATGCAAACAGCAATCAATATCATATAAGACTGTTTTTTTCTCTTAGAAATCTGCCAGAAAAGCAGGGAGGTTTATTGATCTAGTGTTATCCATGCCCTAATATTAGAGTTGCCACCTTTTCAATTCCTTCAGCCTAGAGGAATTTAAACTGGGAGGGAAGGTTGAAGGAAGGAGTGGATGGGTTAAATGTAATAACCATTTTTCTGAAACATATTTTGAATATTTGAAACAAATTACATGTTTCATTTTTTATCTCTTTAACAAGTAACGACATAAATAATACATAATTGTGAAAATAAATCAAGTATCTATGGTGTTCTTCAGTTATATTATGATAATAGTGCATTTTTTTTCTTTTATTCTTCTTGGTGAATACATTATACTATTTACATATTACAATTTCATTTATTCATCGCATATCTTTTCCTTTTGTGGTGTGATTTTAAATTAAGCTTTTGAACTGTAATAACCATCTTCAGATATGAAAGTGTTTACAGTTACATTTTACCTCAAAGTGTATTTTTTATTGCACAACAAACTTGGCAAGTAATGCAAATTTCTCTGGTACACCAGTAAACATCTACCAGACTACACTGAATCATATAGCACAATAGGTCATTGAAGGTCGCAGTGCGGGGCCGGTTTTTATGGCCCACCCCTTGCATACATACACTAAATCACATCCTAGAAGATAGTACTCTATATAATATGCTGTTATTTATTAACTTGCTATCCTAAATCAGTGAAAAACATGAAATTAGTAACCAAAGAACGTTTTAGTACTTATATGTGCATTTTAAGTATAGATGCATTAGTGATCTAATATTTACAGCCTCTGGGTTGTTCATATAAGCACACACTGCATATAGTTTGATTAGACTGTACAATCTTGTTATCACTTTGTAATGTATATGTCCTCAAAGTTCAAAACTGAAAATTAAAGATAAAATATAAATTTCAATAACTGATGATTTGATCTGGAGAAACTGTGACTAAATCCAGAGTACACAGATATATGTCTCTAAATGAGAGATTCTGGTTCAAAGCCAGGGGGGTGGCACGAAGTGGCGCACAAGTGCACGAAGTACATCTGTGGCAATGAACGTTCTTTATGACGGACGTTGCTGAGGACACCACACAGTTTCAGAATGCAGTGTGTAGTTTTTGTCTGCAATGGAGCCAGAAGAACACGTAGCATTCGCCTCTCTTGTTTATTTCTACAATGGACGCATTTTGTGGGCTCATGTGGCCCCTGCGTAAAGTGTTATGCAGTACTTTTATATAAAATTACACTGAAACTCTGTCGTTTACATCACTTCAGAGATTGTTTAGTGTCATTATTTCAGTATGTAAATTGTATAGAAAAAATTTCTGTCATGCAAGATATAATTTTTGTTCTTAATTGAAATTCTTTATGTACAGAACTATTAGGCTTATTTTGGACTCTTGCCATCATCTGATGTACAGAAAAAAAAACCCACAATGTTTCGGAGACTGGATCTGTCTCTGTCCTCGGGTGGATGGGGCAGGATAAACCTACTCAGTTGGGCTGGTTAGAAAGAGCTAGTCTCAATCACAATCTTTCTAACGGGCCCATCCGAGTAGGTTTATCCTGCCCCATCCACCTGAGGATGGAGACATATCCAGTCTCTGAAGCATTGTGGTTTTTGTCTTCTATATACCAGATGATGGATAAAGTCCAAAATAAGCCTAATAGTTGTGTACAGCATACACCATCATCAGAATCCTTTCAAGTCAAAATTCTTTATGTTCTTTAAAACTTCTGTTATTTTTATGTCGTTAGCAATCATTACTGCGGGTGGCATAGTCCGTGATGTCTCAGTACATCAGCTGCTGCATCATCATGTTAACATGCCATGCAAGTAGTGAGCGAGTTAATTTGTGAGAGGACAGATGTAACTTCAATGCTGGTAATTTCAGTTGTGTGTAAATCAGAAGTGCATGGCAGTGAGCTCCCTGAGACAACAGGCTGGTGCTGGTGTATGTCCACAAGACTGCAATGGGAATGGTGTGTGCAACAGCCGAGGGCATTGCCACTGTAATGTGGGGTTTGCCCCTCCTCTCTGTGACTACCCTGGTACAGGTGGCAGTGAGGACAGTGGCCCAGCCTCTGATCCTAATGGTGAGTTTTTGTTTTCAAAACAAAAACATGATATAAGATGAAGTGTTGTCTGGAATATAGACTTAAATGAGATAATGTATACATACATACATACATACATACATATCTACCATTATTATATTCCATGATTCCAGAGTTAGTCAGAAATGACTGTAGGATGTGAAGTAAGTCGTAAAAACATAACATGCAAGGTACATTAAAGCTTTCATATAAAAAACAAGGTATATAAAAAGAATGTGAATTCCAAAAACAAGGCTACAAACTGTAACTTTAAAGTATTTTTATATACTTGTAGCGTAGTTGGTTGAGGCACTATGCTACAAGCTGGAAGATTGCGGAATTGAATCCTGATGAGGTCATTGGATTTTTTTCAATTTACCTGATCCTTCCAGCCTCACTATGGCCCTGGGGTCGACTCACCCTCTAACAGAAATGAGTACCAGGAATATTCTTAGGATATTCTTGGGGGTAAAGGGCGGCCAGTGCGTAAGGCTGACAGCCTTGCTGCCATGTATGAGCCGATTGTCTAGAAAATGTGGGAACCTCAACATCTCACAACCCTATGGGTCTCCACAGCCTGTTACAGGGATACCCTTACTTTTACTTTTCTGAATATCTTCGAAGCTAGTTTTCCAATTAAACATAAAAGTATATTGATGCTTTGTAATGCATTGTAGGAAAACAGTGTGTTCTTTTAAATTGTGGTAATATTTGGTAAACATATTTTAACATTTTTAAGGGAAGAGAGCACTTCTGAGACCTATAATATTAAAATGAATCATAGAGAAATAGGGTGTGAGGATGTGAAATGGATTTGACTTGTTCAGGGCAGATTTCAAAGGTAGGCTTCTATAAACATGGTAACAAAATTTCATATTCCATAAAATCAGAAAATTTCTTTAGCAGCTGGAGACTTTGTGCCATGTAGTTAGTTATTACAGACATGGTATATTGCTGTCTTAATGGCGAGATAATAGCAGTTATAATAAAGAAGCTCAGTGATAACACCTATTGCATGAGTTGGGTAACAGATTAATTTATAGCTTTAATATATATATAAATGAAGCATTGTGGTAGTATTAGGGTTCAAACAAGACAGTAGCCACTACAGAAGCAGGTTTTGTCATTGTGTCATGCGTTTGTATTTGTTCCTTTTATAACTAAGTCTTGTTTTCTGTCTGTAAGACACCAATTTTAATTTAACAGCATTAATTCACTAAATATTCATTAAATGTTTAAAATATCATTAAAATTATTAAAATATATGTACATTTGGTGCTTATGCTACCTGTTTCAGCAGCACAAGTCCATCTTCAGACGACACATTTTTTAAAGGAGTCTACTGTACCGGGCATTTGGTTAAATAATATTCATTAAGGCACATCGTTATTGTTATTATTTTTTTTTTTTAATTCTGATGTTGTAGGATGATTTCATAGGATGATTTTCTTCATATCTTATATATTATGTTTGTTTTTATGTCCCATTGGGTGTGCTGCTCTCTTAGTTGTGTGTATCTAGTGTTGCTTACTGCAACATTCAGTGAATTATGTGTGAATTAATGTTGTTAAATTAATATTGTTGCGTTATAGATGGAAAACAAGACTATAAGTTATACCTCAATGCAACAGGATGCTGAAATATAATATTATAATATTGTTCCTGTTCTCTATCATTTCTTTGCATGTCTGACTGCGCAGCACGCCGTGATATAATGACAGCATTATATGTGATATTCCTTGGCATCGTCCCATTTGTGGCAATCATAGCACTCATCATGTACTACACCCGCCGCAATGTCAAGTACTGGTGGAAGAAGAGTAACAGCCATTCTGCACCCACTATCCAGCCTCCATCGTATGTAACTTCTCGCTTCCGTAGTTCAGTATCTGGTTGTTTGGGTAGATTCTCTGTTCAAAAGCTAAGTAAACTAAACTTTGGTGTTGGAAACATTTTCTCTCTACAAACCACCCAGCTTCCTCATCATGGCATGCTCCATAGCAGTAATGTTAATGCATCCAAAGAAGCTGTGGAAATTAACTTAGAAATAACAAAGACTGGTTTGATATCAACAACCAACTCATATGTAATGAACACATTGCAGCCAGAAAATGACACACAGAATACAAGCATTTCCTCTGGTTTTAGCAGAGGGCAGCAGAAGAATAAAGGAGTTATTTTGATTGTGGAGAACTTATTGCAACCATCATCATCATCATCTGGAAATGTGCCAATATATAAAAGAAAGGAAATGTTTATGAAAAGTAATACTAACAAGTCCAGTAATATCCCACAGACACATATACCAGCGAAAAGTAACATTTCCAGCAACATTAACATTGAGAAACCTGGTCCTAGTAGCAGTATATTAGCTAAACATGATCCACCTACATCTTCCAGTAATTCTGTATTAAAGTCAGATCAGCCAAGAAAGATAAGGAAGAACTCAAAAAATTTACAGTTAAAGGTGAAACATGATCCTATAAAACAGAAACTTATCAAAATGTCAGATTCTTGTCCATCAACTCCTGAAACACCACCCTTAGTGAAATATCAGAACAACCCAATAACAAGTTCCCCTTCTAGACCAACAGTAGCAGAATTGTCATCAAAATTTGAAGCAGGAAGTGTGTCAAAAGCATGAAAAGTCAGTCATACACAATTTTTTATCTGTATTGTAACAAATTTAAATTACAATAGAACCCCCATTTAAAATTCACTGATTTATGGTTTTCTATTGTTTAATGTTCGATTTCAGTCATAACAGGTCATTAAACTGAGTCTTAAATTTCCTCCCTGTAAGACGTTCCTCAGTTTAGTGTTCATATCCACTGTTAACAAAAAAAACCTTAGGTGGGGTTTCACTGTGTTTGCATGTGTATGTGTGAAAGGAACTCAAATGCTTTACTGTGAGGAAGGATTGTACTGGAGTGTGAAATGAAGTGACTGTGACAAGATCTGAAAGCATCATTGATATTGTTATTGGTACTGATATTCTTAGCTCTGTTAGCATCTTGACGCACAGAAATGCATGGTGCTTCAGGAAGCATTTATGTTCATGTATTTTTTTACAATAGCATAACACACCAATGCAAGTGACCTTCATGGACCCAAAAATGAAAGTTGTGCTAACACAAGAAATATGCTAATTAACTTGAATGTGCAGTGAAATTTTCTTAATACAAGTCATGGAACCAAGAATACAAATTGTAATAACCAGAGCTTTCCTTTGGCTGAATGTAGTGTTGCATTATGCAAGACCTGCTTTTAAAGAAGTACAAAAAATACAAGCATGGTGAATATTGCACTTGAAATTGCACATTATATTTCTAGGTATTCTAGAGGTTTATTTTTTTTCCAAAAGCTTAAAAAACAAATCATCCTCAACCTCCTCTATATTGCATCAAGTGCTGACACTTTTCTTTCTAGAAGAAAAAAGAAGATCTGGTGTTAGCCATAAAATATGCCCTTGAAAATGTTTTTGTTCTCTAGAAGTGAAAATCACAGAATTGAAAATCATAAACATCAGAATACTCATAACAAGATTTAAAAGTTGTATTTATGTTTTAAATCATAGGCTACCCATTGAAATTAATGTATAGTAGTTTTATGGTTTTAATGTTATACCAGCTAACTTCATAGCATGTGGTTATGTTGAATCTCTGAATTTCCATTCGATAAGTAAGGGTTTGATCTACAATATGCAAACTGTTCTATTTCTTTATTGTTAATTTATAAATTTGGTGCATCCAGAAAATTTCTGTGGTATTATCTTAAAATACTCACACAACTAAAATGTGGAATTTTAAATTGTGAACTGGTATTCCACAGAATTTCTGGTCAAGAAAGAGAAAGTGTTTAATAGTCTGAGAGTGGGTAGAAATGTATGCATGTGCAAGATTATGTTTTATTGATTTTATGTTTATTTATTCTCTAACTACAGTCATAAATACACATTGACTTATCAGAACTTGGAATTATAAGCAGTCATTAAATTGTTCTATTATATGTTAGAGAGGTGGAAATTTTTGCATTCTCTTATTGACTTTAGTGAGTGTATACTGTATACGTATGAAGAGAAAAATATCTGACTGATCATATAGTTTCGTATCTGTTTTTCTCTCTAGAATTGTCTGTCAGACAAAACATATCCTAATTGCAGTTGGTTTTTGAATACAGTAACAGTACAGAAGAAACTGTCAAAGTTGATGGACTAGAAATATATGTTGTAGGAAACAAGAAATGAATGCAAGACCTTCTTTTGTTAGAAAATTGTTTCAAGGGGAAGGGTTAAACAAATGTAGGGGAGAGAATAAGTAATAATATAATGAAATATACTTTTGTCACTAAATCAGTGGGAAGACAACCCTTACTAATTTTTGTCTCTCAGTATCTTGTAAGCAACAATTGTTTGGCATGCCACATAACAGCTAACAGCATGCTTAAAAATGATTTACAATTTCTATTGTCAGTGCTTGAAACAGTCTGATCATTATTTATTATTACTATATTTATTATTATTTTTATTGCTCCTGATATTTTTATTTACTGGATTTGTTGTATGTTTTTCAACTGAGTGGTGTGCTAGTTTTTGAGAATTATATTATTTACCTGTTTCAAGATAACTTGTAAAAGTAAACACAAAAATCAATTTTCACTTCTTACCCTTCCTTCTCCTCCTTGCTCTTCTGACTTTTATGAAATGAAAATTTCCGAATTTATCTTCCTCCCTTCAAACTCACTCATGCATAGAGCTGAGTCCTTCTTGAGAAGCTAATAGTTGGTCAACTACCCAAGAAATTTCCACCATTTTATGGAATTCAAAAGTTAATTTCCATGTTGCCAAAAGCCACCACTGGTCCCAGTCCTGAGCCAGATGAATCCTGTCTGCACCCTCCTATCCAATTTCTTTAAGATCTCTTTTAATGGATTTGTCACATTTACAAATGCGTCTTCCTAGTGGTTTCTTTCTTTCGGGTTTTCCTACCAAAACTGTGTATGCACTTCTTATCCTTCACCCTCCAAAAAGTAAAATTTACTCTCATTTACCATAAACTGGGGGTGCATAATTTGACAACCAACTGGTTGTGTCCCATTTTTATACAAACAAGAGCTGGATAACACACCGAATGTATCCAGAAATGGCCCTGTGCTAGTAAGTCCTAGTAACTTATAGTGCACATGTGTACACGTGTAGCAGAACCACTTGGCGCTGTAGTGAACACATGTAAATACATTTAAAAAGGCTTCTGCAGTAGCTATTAAGCAGTTCATACTACTTCTTTGCACACAGTGCAAACAGGGAGGTTATGTATCGACAGCTACATATTTCACCTGTGGAACTACAGAATAGATTTTATTAAATTTGGTACTGAGAGACTACATTAAAAATTTTCACGCCAAATTCAACTTAGGTTTTATCATTTCAGTAATATAATTCTTACTTTTCATGATGCTATACATCTGGACTAAATAAGCATCAAAGCCATTTAGGTATTCAAAATTGAACAGAATGCTTTTGATTGATTGTATATTCATTTATATGTTATATATATATATATATCATATCCTATATTATGTTTTGACTTATGAAATATGTGAGAATTCTGTTGACATTTAATGTAAAAAGTAACTTTCTTTTTACATCAGGTCCTCAAAGATTTACAACAAATATTTAAAATCATATCCCACAATTTTTTCAACTGAAATTTGTTCTTATTTTTATAGATGATATTTCACTAATTAATGCAAAAAAAGAAAGGAAATGTGACAATTTTAACACAATTTACATGCAGAATATAAATTAGATGTTATTATCATTATGTGTTTTATAAAATATAATATTATTCATAAAACACTTTCAAGTTTATTTTGTTTGAATGTAAAATTATATGTTGTGTTATTTCTGTCAAGAGTTTAGATCACTGCATGCAGAAAGTGGAAATGAAACCTTGGAATGGTAACAGTTTTGTTTGCTGCCGGGATTATAAGGTTTGATGGTTTCAGTTATCATTAATCAGTCATCATTATTTTTCCTGATCACCTTGGCTTCTCTTATTTATTAAGCTCTCCTCTGCTAATGGTATTATGCACATGAAATATGTTTTGATGCAAACTTCTTATCTTCCTTTTTTTCTTGAGTTCTGTGGTGCATGCGCAGTTGCTTGTTTTTGCTTGATCCTAGCTTCTGATGCATGAATTATATAAAAACCCAGTCCTAATATTGGCTTAAGTCTGAAATATTAATGATTTATTGACCAGTCTATCATTCATGCTTAAACTCTTACCTCAAGCACATGGTGTTTGTATTTCAGTTGTCATATCATGTATATACATATATCCCAAGTGACATTTTATCTCAGGATAAGTTATTCTTTTATGAATGGAAAACAATCTCCAGGATGGGATGGGAACATGATTTCATATTGTCTTTTCTCTGTTCCTATACTACTGTTTTATTTAATTCTTTTTATGATTAAAAGTGGACTTAATGTGCCATACCTAACAGAATATAAAAGTATATGCATGCTTTGGCTGAAGTTTTCCCAGCTGCCACTGGCAGTGCTACCCATTGTTTTCCCTCATGAAAGAGTTTCTAATCTTATTCTTAAAATGACATATTTTTGTAAGGTATTCAAATAAATTATGGCTTTGTTACTTGACATTCTGGTATTTAGTGTTCCACTGCATTATAAAGTGTGTCTTACCAGAATTTTATACAGAGTGTAGATATACTGTGCTTGGATTTGCTTTTCATATATGAAGTTAAATTTTCTGTCTAGTGCTTTGGTTTCTAGCAGCAACACAGTTAATTGATACTGTCATGTAGTTTAAAGTGTTTACTTAGTTCTAATACTGCAGTCTTCAGTTATGATTAGAAATGTGTTGAATTTTGTAATCTTATGTGTCCAGTGCATGGGCTTGTCTGTTACTTATATGTATTTTGTTTCTCTGTCAGGACCAAGCTTGCAGAAAAGAAACCACTCCCACCAACACGACATATCAGCCGTGGCAATTCCATGGCATTTCGAGGTTCTGGCAACATGGCCAATGGAGTGCGTGGACTAGAGATTTCCAACCCTCTTCCTGCAGATGCATCAACAGGATCTGACAGTGCTCATGTGTCACTTCTTCCCAAGCCTGATGGCAGCAATAGTCTAGGTCCAACCATCAATCCTTTATCCTCAGTCAGCATGGATGGCACAACTTCAAGCCTTCAGAACAATTTCTTTGGGCAATTCAAGGGCTTCAGCATCACTCCTCTTCCTTCAAACAACCCCTCTCCCACTAAGCTCCCATCCACACCCTCAAGAGGCAAACCTGTTCCTAGCAACCTTACCACTTCTGTTCAATCTGTTCAAGTCACACCTTCCAAGTCTTCAAATATTCCATCCCGGACAAATAGCTCAGTTGGCAGTACAGGACTCAACAACACAGCAGTGTCATCTGCAATTTCATCTGCAAATATAACTGCGGCATCTATTGCCCCAGCTCTTCCACCTGCAAATGAACCCTCAGCCACAACCCGCCCATTCATCAGTAGCCCGATACTAGATGCCACAACCTGCACAGCCAAAGAGCTCATCTCTTCTACACCATCAGTTCCCAGTAGGCCAGCTCCAGAAGTTCCCTCCAGCAGTGTGGCAACACCTGGTTACACTCCATTGACTGGCTCTTCCAGTAAACCAGCACGACCACTATCCTCACCTAACTCCCTTGCTGTTGGTGCATTTCCATCTCAGCCATTGGAAGAGAAGAAGGCAAAGGAAAGTGGCTCAAGTTACCCAACACTGACTCGTCTGGCTTCATTCATGATGCGACAGAATTCAGGAGGAATTGGTAGGAGTCAGAGCCAGAATCAAGGTTCTTGTCAGCCTAATGAGAGGTTTAAAGGCAAAGAAAAGAACAAAGCTATGGCAAGTGGGAGCAATTCATTGCCCAGGACCCACCACCATGGAGTGAAAGCCAACAAGCTTCAGATTGACAAGGAAACACTAAGGAACCTACAGATCTCAAATCCCATCCCACAGCAGGACATTGATATTCCTCAGAATGTAGTGCCAGTGAGACCTGCCCCAAGCCCACCTTCTAATGATTCTTCTAAGCAAGTTGTAATGCGGGCACAGAGCCTGCGAGATAAGGGACCAGTTACCCAAAGACCCTCCATACCAACATTTGGCTCAATGCGACAGCCCTCAGGCACCAGACGGCCAACAAGCATCCCAGCTGGAGCACGTCCAACATCTCCACCTCCTCCTAGGCCTCCTCCACCACCCACAAAGTCTGGAGAACTAGCAACAGGAATTATTGGCCTACCAGGATACCAGAATCCACCTGCAGTGAGCCCGGTGGATTACTGCTATGATGACTGTCTTAACCTCCTCTCTGATGGCAATGCACCTTTGGCTGATATAGATGAAGAGTCAAGTCCAAATAGTGCTGACAATATATATGCAGTGATTGAGGAGAGCCCTCCAGGAAGTAACAGAAAGAAAATTGGAAGTTTCTCTCCACCATCAGAATATGCAGCTCCAGTACCACTAAAATCAAGTAATGCTAGTGATAACTATAGTATACATTCTAAATCTGAATATACATCACCCAATTCCAATGAATACAAATCTCCAAAACCTGTAGAGAATAGCATTTCTGCAGGAAGTTTAGAGTCAGTTGGACTTCTTTCAGAGATTGTGAATGAGATCCAAGCCAGAAACATGGAATCAATATACAGCACATCAACACTTGGAAGAAAGAAGGGTGCTAAAGGTGATGGATCAGATGTTGATGATGAATCATCCACCATTACAGCTACAGACTCCTCCATAGCTGGCTCTGTTTCTCCTCAACTATCACGTGATAAATCTAGTGCAGTAGCTTCATCCAATAGTTCACTTGGGACATATGTGAATGCCAACATATACCGCCCCAGTGGCAGTGTGTATAGCAACCTGTCAACCCAGACAAATCCAGCCAGCTCACCACAGCTGCCCTCTGTCAATACCACTAGCAGTTCCTCCAGCTCAAGTAGTGGCTATCTTAGTCCCAAGCCTCCAACAACAACAACTCAGTCCTCTGCAGTCAACAGTACTCCTAACACAAGCATCAGTAAAGGCTTCAGCACTTTCAGATCTCCCCTGCAGACTACAAATACATCCTCAACACCTAGAACAGTTGTGTCAGCTGCTCCTGTTACAAGGCCAACTCCAGTGGACGTTAAGAAAACACCAAGTGTTATTAGTCCTCCAACAGCTGCATTGCCAGAAAATGTTTCTACATATAAACCATACAGCTCCACACTGCAGCGCTCACTAGGGCCCCTAGCAGCAAGTTTTCGAGGTAGTAGCTCTTCAGCTTTGAAAGACAGCAAAGCAGATAATGTGTCGAGTGAAATGTCAAAACAGCTTGTGACTCAGAATGCGGTTCCTCCTGTGCACAACAAGAACACATTGAGCAAAGTGTTGGCTGGCTCCCCTTTGCCTGCCACAACTCCGAAGGCTTCAGGAAATGATAAGAATACCCCATCTGCTACAGTAAAACCTGCTAGTGCTCCATCATCGACATCATCAGCATCTTCACAGCCTGGAAGGTCATCATTACACCGCACTCCGACACCTCCTAGTTTGTCTGTTAAAACATGTGTTTCAGGTGCTAGTGGTTCTACAAAACCTGTCTTGAGCACAACAAAGGCACCCCTCACAGCTACAGTTAATAGCAATGCTTTGCATCGTGCGAAAGCTCTTGCTGCTGGAGTAAGAGGTCAGACTCCTGCTAACAACAGTCCAGATGTTGTGTCAAGTTGTTCAGTGGGAGGAAGTGGTAGCAGTGGAAGATCCCCAGATGTTATAGGTGGTGGAAAGACAGATACTAAAGCCAGTCTGAAGTCTCCTGATGTCATAGCTGCAAGCACAACAGTGAAACCTCTTCCAAATCTCCCAACAAGAAGTACTGCCCCAAATGAAGTTAATGCTGTCAATAGGAGTGCATCTGTAGCTGGAAGTGGAACTACTAAATCTGCAGTGGGCACCGGCAGTAGAGTGTCATCTGTCCATTCTTCCTTCAAAGGTAGCCCAGCTGTGAAGCAGCCACAACTAGCTCCAAAACCTTCAGTATCAATATCAAGACATGGTGCACCCACAGCTACAGGAAGCATTTTGCAACAGGACAAAACAAAATCTGGGGCAGCTGGGGTGAAGGATGTAAGTGGTAAAGTTACAGGACTGGGGAGGGGGACAGCTGTGACAAAATCTGTTTCAGATGTGACAGGCAGTGCAAACAAATCAATGCCTGCAGCTGCAAGAGCTGCAGCAAGCAAACTGTCTCATGTTGCATCATTACAGCAGAAATTTGAAACAGTGGCAGCAAGTGAGAAAGGTGCAACAACAGTTTCTAGAACACCATCCAGTGGTGCTAACAAAACACGACCAACCTCATCTACAGTAGGATCTAAAGGTGCCACTACACAATTGTCCACAGGCAGAAATACTGGCTTTAAGAAATGAGATTATTGAGTTGGTATACATCATACTGATGTTGGCAGAGGTTGAGGTGGCCCCAGGCTGTGGGGCTGTCAGTAATCATGGGCTGACCAAACCAAGGAACTGGTTTGAGAAAATCATGACTTTACCTAGTCAGATTGAATAGAGGGAAGTTTAGGTACATCATAGCTGACAGATAGGATGTCACTTACTTTAATGTAAAGGTCAGGAAATTGATGGCAGTCACATAAGTATTGTTCCATCTGTAATCAGAAATGAGGACACAGCAGTATTGTTTCTTGCATAATGATTTAGGTGCATCTGATCCTCCATGAGAAATGTGTATCAAAAGCATAGCTTAATAATCCTAATAATCCATGATCAAGACAGCAGCATATCTAAAGTTAGTAAGAGTTCATGCTTTATAAATATAGTATTGTATTGATTTGTGTGTGTAAGCTTGAAACTGCCCTGTGTAAAAATAATGTTTGCTGGGAATTCAGTGTCCATACAGGAGGGGATTCTTTGAGAACAACAGGTTTATATGACTTCTTCCACTGTATGCAGTGGAACTCCCATTCACTGTCCATGATTTGAGGTTTCCCTTCATTTAATATTCATTGTTAGTATTAAATTACCCCAAGTTTTTAAGATTTTCCTTAAATTTATGTTCAAATCCACTGCAACCCAAAGAAGCTTTAAATATGGGTTTCACTGTAGTTGGATTCCATGGCATGTACACAGCATTACTGCCCTTGGATATTATTGTCATCTTCATTTTCAAAATGACACATGGACATGATAAAAAACTGTACTGCATGGTAGAAATTATTTGACATTTACCATTCTGGAGTCACTGAATATATGTACTGGCATAAACTTCATTGTGTATGTAATGTTGAGCTGATTAAATTAATTCTCTAATGCTGTGGTGTTGTAATAGCTATGTGCCTGCTGTGGCATTAACTAGAATAAATTCCAGGATTAAACAGAAAAGTTATATAAGAAGACACAGACAGTGGGTGTGAATGAGTTAAAAATTTATATTTGGGAATTGTTTTTTTTTGGTGAATATACTGATTTTGCTTACAATACAAGCAAGTGGCAAGCTTTTGTGGTGTTGGTGGTGGTTTTGAACATTTTCCAACCAAAACATAAAGTAATTTATTGAAGAGCTTATTAACTATACTATCGAGGGCTCATAACTACAACTTTACCTGTTGTGTTAGGGTACAAAACTTAGTATCTTACTCTGAAGGGGAACATAGATTGTGGGTGTTCCGAATGAAGTGCTAAGGAACATAATTACTACTAAGAAAAATATGTGGTAACTTGAAACAACTGCATAATGTAGAGCTTGATAATTTGTTCCCTACACCTAATAGTATTAGGATGATGAAAACAGGAAGATGGATAGAACTTGTAGCATATGAGCCAAATGAAAGACATGTACCACATTTTGATCAGAACATTTCAGTTGAAGAGGCCACTGCGAAATCCTCAGCATAGATGGGAGGATACAATTAAAATATATCATAGAAAAATGGAGTGAATTCCATTGGCTTATGATAGGCCCAATAGCAGACTCTTGAGAATATGGTGATGAATTTCTGGATTCTGTTAAAACAAAGAATACTTGATCAGCACAGTCATTTCAAGAATGATCCTGTACCATGAATTTGTGATAACAGGAATACTCTTAAGGTGGTGGTGAAGTATTAGTCCTCCTCCTTGCAGGACATATTTATCTTATCACTGCCTTATGCCGTGTAAATTTAGATCAGCAGAGGAAAGTTAATCTGGGCAATTTATAAAAATAACTTCCTATAAATCTCAGTGAATGTTTTTTCATACTTAAGAACTAGAACATTTTATTTGGAAGGAGAATGTAAAATAAGGAAGACTGGTATGAATATGGCAGTTGTTTAAGAAATTATTCTGAATTTTAAAAGGATGGTTAATGGCACATCGATCAAATCTTTTACTGTCACTTTAATGTGGTAAGTTCTTCTTCTTGGATAAAGTTAATTGGGCTTTACATTCTGTTACATACTTTACAAGGCATGAAGCTTGTCTAGGTTTCATCTAGGTGGTAACTATTTGATGTTATAATATTGTTGAAACATGTTTTTCTGTGAACTGAATCTCAGTTCTGTGATATGTACTTTTCTCACTCTGAACTTAAAGGATGATAAGTCGTTTTCTTTTTAGCTCTTTGTGATGTATTCATAATGCTCCAGGACAAAACTTGCAGCCAAATTTAGCATGACTATTGTACAGTTGAAAGAATTATTTTGTACTTCCAGTCCCCTAATGAGTTCCTTAACTTTCACTGAATAACGCTGGCAGACAATACAAGCATACCGTAAACATGTTGCATGTACATATATATTCCTGAAATCGGTTTTAGTATTTGTTATTATCTTCCTTTAATCAGCTAAATAATAGTTTCAGAATTTCAGTTTTTGTAATTGTGTCCATGGTTAATTTTCCTGAACTTCTCTCTTTTGTCTGCATTATATTAAATCTGTTTCATTGTCACTAATTATTTGTTTTGAATGATCACACCCTTTGGTGGATTGTTACTTCAAACAAAAAATTGAGTCACTCCATTAGTGCCTGAATATTACATGTGTCTTTGTGTGATTATGGTGTTGTACTGCTCTCTCTGCCTTCTCTCTTTTCTGTAATTCGTCAAGTTGTTCCTGTTCATTAAACTGAATATTTTATTGCTACTCTTTCCATGCTGTTTTTTTATCAATGGACTCAATAGAATAGGTGTCTTCCACCTTCTCACCTGAAGACAGAAGCAGATTGAGTTTGCAAAACATTGTGGCCTTTAGAATACCAGGTGAGAGACAGAGCCCAAAAACCCAGCAATCCTGACTGTTCTTTTTGTGTGTGTGTGTGTGTGTGTGTGTGTACATGTACACCCGCATGTGCATGCACGTGCACACACATACACACATAGAAATATTCATATTGCACCACGATAGGGTTATGGTGTAGTGTCTAGGCTATGGGCTAAATGATTAGATAATCAGGATCAATTCCCAGCAGGGGCAGATACTTCCTTTGCACGACATCCAGACCAGCTCTGAGGCCCACCCAACCTCCTATCCAGTAGGTACTAAGCTTAATATCAGCTGGCATGTGACACAACTCATTTCCATCTGGTGCTGGAAGTTTAGGAAATGCTGTACCTGTACCTCCACAATAAGGCAAAGGTTTGTAGAGGGCTGTAGTGCCAGTCTTTTACCTTTCATACTAAAGTGTCATATATCAGACATAAGCCTGAAGGGACTGGGATTTTGAGCAAAATATTTAATTTCTAGCAAGAGAATAGTTAAATGACTTGTGGAGCAAGATGAATGCCTCAAAAGAAGAGCTCTTGCATGTTATAAGGAATAACACTTTTTAATGCAAAATTATTTATAACTGTAAATGTATCAGAATATGAAATCGAGTCAGGAGAGGACAGCTGTGTATCTTCTCTGAGTACATTTGTTGCTGGGTTTATACAGCTGATTTTCTCTTCATTTAGTTAGTATGTTCAGGTTGAACTCATAAGGCAGCCTAGGCCAGGATACAGTCAGTTCAGGACAACACAATTCTTTACAATTCCTGAAGGTTGATTAATAAAAGATTAACACAGGATATTCTGCTGGCTGATCATTGTTCCTCTGAATACTGTTGTTTGCCCATCTCTACATTTATCATCACACCAGTCAAACTTGCTGCTAAAGTTTGCACAAAACAAACTCCTTGACCCTGTGATGTATATCTTTGCTAGTAAATAAAGTTGTTTACTCTCCACACATCTTGGTCAAGTGGTCTGATATGGTTTGATGTGTAGGTTGTTTTCATGCTAGGTCATCAGAGGATATACCTGTTCTCCTGAAATGATGTACAATTGTCAGAAGTTTCTGAAAATGTTTGATAAGTGTATACTACCTTTGATCTTATTTGAAGTGTGAATGCTATAATTTTAAATATTTTCTTGTTATTGTTTCCTTTATATGGAGCATTCCAGGCCAAAGCTCACTGATTAAATGTAGTGAGATAGTTGGAAAGGTTTATGTCTGGGCCTTATTGGCATAATAAGTAGTTTTCTGATACATTTACAGAAGCACAGATTTCTGCTAATGAAACTTAATATTTGTTATGAGTATCTCTTAAAGTCTAATTTTCTAGGAACCTCATTTCCTAGCAGAATCAAAAGGATAGTGAGTGGGAGAAACCAATCATGGATCATATGTGTTTACAAGAAAACCGCCATACTGTCCTGATGGAACATAGATCGCAGAAGTGCAAAACTATTTTGAAGACCTTTATGCAGAAGAAGGTAATGTTAATATCCCTCAATGCTGCTCTGATTCAAAATATGCATGAAAAATAATGGATGAATGATATGATTATATTCCAAAGTCGCATACACTGAACTGTACACACAGGGTTCTAAAATTGTGTCTCATTCAAAACATAATCAAGTGGTTAGAGCATATATCAAGATAAGTGTACATATTACAGATACCTTGATTTGTAGTATATAATAGTATATAATTAAGCATAATTGAATGAGCTTGGGGAAAATCAACTAGACCAAATGATAATGAATCAGTGAATGAATTAATAAATCATTTGGATCATAATCATATTTGAATGGCTCTTAGCACTGGTGTTATTCAAACAGGGACAGTATTTTTAAAATTATATAATTTTTAAAAGAGAAAAGATCAGTTGAAAAGAAAGAGTTTTAAGTCATGGAACTCCCAAGTAAACTATTATAATGGAGCAAAAATCTTATTATCGCTTACAGTTTTTTTGACTGCAGCCAGTATATGTAGACTGTTGCACAACTTATGGTTGAAATTTTTCAGGAAATGCTTCTTTATGGATTTGATATGATGTATCACTGACAATCTGCATTTGTATGCATTTTGTAGGTCATCAAAACTTACCTTCAAATTTTGGGCAGTAACTTAAGAATTTATTCTTCAAAGTAGTTTTTACAGCAGTGATTACAGTGAAGGGTTTGAGGTAAACTTCCACTTATTTCTTCTTGAAAATATGATTCAGATTTGAAAACGTTATTGAAAGATTCTTACATAAACATGAAGAGCTGTTTTTTTGTAAGGTCTTGAAAAGTTAAATGCACGAAAAACTGAACAGTTATGAATTTTAAACATGGTAACTACTTCTGTTTATACTTATCAGAATACTTCACAAGTAAATTTTCTTAATGTATTCTAGTGTAACAGTACAAAACAGAGTAGAAGTCATGGTTTAGAATTTACACATATTCAAATATGAGGTCAAAAGTTGATAGAATGTGTAATGCAAGAGATAATTTCAAATCCTGCGGCTAATAATGAATGTAGACATTGTAGAGTCAAACATCATCACTTTAGCAAAAAAGAAAAAAGGTTAACAAATTACATCAGAATATTGCTGATGAAACGTCTTCTAGCCTATGATAATGATTGTGTGTGATTATGTTGGACATAGTGTTGGATGTATATAAGTTTCATTAATACACCTATGGACATTGTCTTTTTTTATTGTAATGTATTATATAACTATGATATTTTATTGTACACATGCCAAAGATTTTTGTATTATAATAATAATAAAATATGCACTATGTGTATGATGCCAGTTTATTGAATTATGATTCTTCTGTGTCTTTTTCATTCAGATGTTTTTGTTCACTTCTACAGGACTAATCTGATATGTTCGGAAGCACTGTATTGTGATGATGTAGCTTCCTTTCTTCTCTTGGCTCTGATTTGCCAGGTAATACATTAACTTCTTATTCTGACACACTATCAACTGCAGTGATTATGCAATGTCAACCTGCTGCAGTGGAAACCTCATTTGAATTTTCTTCATTTAAGGTTCTCTGCATTTAACATACAATTTCAGTGGTACATCAATTAACCTGAGTGACAAATTATCTTATTTAAGATCTTCCTAAGTTTGTGTTAAAATCCATTGCTCCTCAAAGAAACTTTAAATAAGGTTTTATTGTATTTTGTAATGGGCAATTAGGACAGATATATATAATTTTCCCTAATTTCAGTTCTTGAAGGGTCAAGACTAAATAGCATAATATGAGGGCGGATTAATTCCACTAGAAATTCTGTGCACAAATCATACAACTAATGGCTTAATAAATTTGGAGCAGTATCCCTAAAAACCACCAATAAAAATAACTTCATATGTATTGTAATGGCTGAAATGCTAGGAGAATCAGAATATTGCATTTTTATGCCTAGAGTAAAATTTTATATGGAACCCCATACACCTAGAATTTTAGAGATAAGTAGAAATACTTCATACATAAAAATAGTTTGAATTTACATGATTACCTAACTCCATGCAACAGAGTCCTTCAGAAAGTAATGCCTCCCCAGCTATTCAAGAAATTTTGTGCCTTTTATGAAACCTGAAGGGTAATTATGGTGTTCACAAGATATTTCCACTGGATGCCAATCCTAATTCATACGAGTCTAATCCAGATCCTCATACCCTGTTTCTTTAAGATCATTTTGATATTTTCACTTCTGTGCCTTTGTAGTCTCTTCACTTGAAAATTTTTTTTTTCCATTTCTCATCTATCTGTGATACATGTGCCCCAAATTCATATTATCAAGTGATTATAATTTACATTAATTTAAGTAAATAGGGGTTCAAGGTTGTGGACAGGATGAATCTGGCTGAGGATAAATGCCAGTGTTGGGCTGTTGTGAACACAGTAGTCAACCTTTAAATTCCACAAAAGTCAGGGAATTTCTAGAGTGACTGCTAGCTTCTCAAGAAACTGTTCCATGGAGGTAGTTTTTAATCTGATTATCCTGTGTGTCCTTTCTTGTGTTCTAATATAATTTCTGGGCATGGTAGGATGAAGGAATACCACATAAATTGTGTACAACTGACATTTTGAAAATCTCTGTACAGTTGCCATCATCAGTCTGTGTGGCTGGGCTTGGCTGTAGGCCACAGGATTGCTTTTTAACTATTGTATGTGTACTTGTTGCAATTTGTATTGCTTTTTAACTATTGTATGTGTACTTGTTGCAATTTGTATTGCTTTTTAACTATTGTATGTGTATTTGCTGCAATCTGTATTTCCTTTTAACAATTTTATGTGTTTTTTTTGACAAGTATGGATTATATATGCTAGTGATTTTGTTTGTGAATGTACATGCTTCCAATGTCTTGTTGGCTTGTTGACATGTTTTATATTCTGTGCCTGTGCACATTTGTGAATAATCTGAAACGCAAATGTATATGTATGTATGTATGTATGATGGGAGGAGATTGCGAATGCATTCTCTACTTACCGAACCCACAAGTTGATGATCAGTGTGGGCACTAACAATAACTGTGTGCCATGCCTTGGACTGGTACAATCTTATGTTTTCAGGTAAGGTAATCTTAGAATGGGATGAAAGCATAGCTAGGGTCAAGCTCTCAGATTGATGTTGGAAAGTGGCTGAGTTGATGGATTGTAAGACGAGGATCTGAAGCAGCATAGATTTGAATTAAAAAAGAGATTAATTATATTAAGAGGAAGTGTGATGTAGAAAAGGTGAGGTGTTTTATAGAAGGCTGGATTTAATACAGAAGCTTAACGATGGAATGAGAGGATCAAATGCTGATAAAACAGTACTTTACGTTTCCAATCTTAAGTTTTTATTAGCAAACTATTCACATAACAGTACAAAACACTGCCTGTCAAATGTATCATAACCTCTTCATGTCATGTCTAGCAAAAGCTGTTTCCTTACTCCTTCAAGACAAAATTAATATTACTAACAGAATGCAGCTATAGTTCATGTAAAGAGACAGACAAATTGACCAGTTCACAAGTAGCACATAAACTTGTGTTATGGCAAGTTTACTTTGACGACATGGCCATCCTTACAATATCATGCTATTGCTCACTTTGGTTGAAGTACTGGGCCATTAGCAGGAGGTTCAATGGCAGTTCTCACAATAAATTTCATGTCACTCCCTTCCATTAACATCTTTGGTAAAATTATTGAGAATGACAAAGGACAAAATTAATCCCGTACTAAACAAGATACTTCTGCATGTATAATAGTTGAATAGAAAGACAAAAAAATTATGATTACATGCATCAGCAAAATGCTATATAAAGTTCTACAGCTAACCATCTGACAATTACAACTTAGCATTATTTTATTCTGAATCAAAATTAGACTGATGGCAAGCAACTTACTCTGAATACCAATGCAGCCCTCACTGGGGGGGGGAGTTCTTTTCCTAATACAACCAACATACAAACAAAACACAGAACCATTTCTTTCATTTTACACATATTTGTATAAAGTTTTTAAAAGTACTTATGGATGTATTATCATTTTAGAACATAACACAGTCTTCATTCAGCATGCACCCTAACTTGCACTGATCACATTTTCACTTCAACCATCTTGCTGAACAAAAGGATTTGGAATGCTTTCCATTCCATCTACAGGACATATGAGCACCACAGAAGTGCCTCGACAAACTACCAGTCCTAGCATTCGGGTGTCTTCTGTCAGTTTATATGGATCATCAGGGTCCCTAAGAACTTCAGTGGTATTATCAAGCACAAGATTCAAGAGTGGGTCATAACCCTTGAGAATGCCTGCTGCTTCTCGACCTCCTGCAAACTTAACACGAATATTTTTTTCCAGATACTTGGATAAGTCGAGGATACTTTCTTTCCTCTTGCGTTCTTCCTTCTGATCTCCTTGTCCCTGGATTGCAGCCATAACATTTGATTTTGTAACCTCCTGATGGTAACCGCACACGCTGAAACCTGTAGGATATAACTGTCTTACATAAGGGAAAATACACCAATAACAACAAAATGTCATATTCTTAACAATTCGCATAATCACGTTTTATTTATGTACACACTGCACTACTGAAGGGATCTTTCGTACCAGCAAGACAAACCATGAACACTTACTTCAGCTTCGTGTAACACAGAAGAGAAGGATCGGGCCAAATAACCTATAGCACCTCAATATTTTAACATGCATGAGCTCAATACAACTTCCAAATTTTCCAGATAAATTACGTTAAACAGACAATGCAATAGCGGTAATACAACAAAAAACATGCGTTTTACTATACGGATTACTATGCATCAATACTTCTAACACATGCAGTTCTTGTCGTAAGTTTGTTGTTGCCACCTATTAACCTATTAACATTGAGTTTCCACGAGATAATACCTCCGTACAGACGGTACAGACCGTACAGACAACTCAGGACTTCAGGACTTGTTCTGGACTTCTGGACCGGTTCTGGACGCCCTCAGTCGTGCAGCATGTACGGCATGTACCCTGTCGCTATACCGACCATACCGACTGAGCTATCAATCCAGTTTAAAATGAACAAATATTGCATTATCTTTGATCAAAGTTAAAAAATAATTCTGTTTTTGTTCTTGTAGTTTAATGGCACTCAGCATACGAGAGCTGTGAGATGTTGAGTATAAATTATTTTATAAGTTGAATAATTTTGGTGTTTCTACAAAATTGTTTGGAGTTGCAGAACAAATTTCCGAGAGATCGATCCATCGATCATCATACATATCGATTCTTATTGGTGTCCAAAATGGCAGTTCGTACCATCGTTAAAGGTGATGATACTCAAGTTTTCATCAATGATAGTAGTGAAACAAGTTAGGTAGCGAGTGCTTGTTGTCATAAATTTAAAATAAAACTCAGATCAGCAAAAAAAACTCATTGAACTGCTACAAGAAGAGATGAACACACCCAATCGTACCGTAAGTACAGACTCATGTTACTTCCACAGTTCGAACTAAAAAAAAAAAAAAAGAAACTCTGTTCTTGTGTTCATGAATCTCTGGAACATCTGACTAACCTGACGTAGGGTTTTTCGTAGTTTTCACAGTACCACCAGGCAAATGTTGATTGGACTTAGTACCCCTAATCAGGTGACAAGCACCAAGACTTTTGAATACATTATTTACTAATCATCAGCCGTTTGATACTATACTGGGTGTTCTTAAAAGAATGGTGGGGTTTCAGATACATATGTATTTCGTATTTCTTGCCGTGTACGATCATAACATGCGTCAATCAGAAGCTTAACTGTGTAAGATTTGAGGTTTTCATGGCAGCGACTATGAAGAAAGCAGTCTTCTGGGGTTTGGCACCGTGTATATGTGGTGTTAACCGACGTTTAGGAGGAACGTATCGCCTTCATCTTCAGGGTAGAAGGAAAAATATAAGAAACCCGCAAGCGAAGAGACCGTGAGAACCGGTAAAAGCAGACTGGTGTTGGAAATATACACAGCTATGTGAGAGCAGTGAAGGAAAGGGGGAAGGGCAAGTATACAAGTGAAATCAGAAGTGTGGGAGGGGGGGAAAGGAGCTGGGACAAGCAGGGTTTTGTGTTGGGGGAGAGAAAGGCAAGGTTAAAGGCTGGGCACTAACCCTTAAGCTGGGGGGGAGGGTTGTTATGTTAGGCCATGACCGACTAACATAACCGCTGAAGATGGAGGCGACATGTTTCTGCAAGACGTGTGTTGACTTTCGACAGACTACACGGCATTATATCCCAGATGACAGAAATCTTCAAAACCACTGCTGTCAGAAGCTCAAATACTACACAGTATAGTAATTCTTTATACATTGGTTGGTGGGTAAGCAGTTCAGATTTCAGACTATCTCAAGGTAATTTTGAATTGGTAATTTTTGGCCTGCGCATTTGTGTTCTGCCAGTCTCATACAAAATTTACATTACAGGACTTTGAGAAGGAAATGATGAAGAGAAGAAACGTCAGGAAGAAGAAGGCAAACGTGGAGCTTGGAATGAATTTGAGATTGGCGAGTCATTAGCAGATTATTTATGTACCACATAGGCCTATTCAAATTAAGAGATATTGACACTTTAGTATTGGTTTTAATTGTGTGTTTATATTTTAAGTATTTCATAAATGGTGTACCATATTTAATCATATACTGCAGTTTTGTTAGGGATTTTAGTAGAAACACGTTAATCATTACTGTGTAATATTAGTAGTGGTAGGTTAGTTGGGCGAGTTGGAAGGTTGTGGGTTCAAGTCCCTGATGAGGTCATTAATTTTTTCAATTGACCTAATCCTTCCAGCTGTACTATGGCCCTGGGGTCGACTCAGCCTCTTAACAGAAATGAGTACCAGGAATTTTCGTGGGGGATAAAGTGGAGCCGATTTGTAAGGCTGACAACCTCACCACCATCTGTGAGCCAGTTGTCTAGAAAATATGGGAATCTCGATGTCTCACAACCCTATGGACCTCCACAGTCTGTTACAGGGATAACTTTACTTTTTTTCTTCTTTCTTTCTTTCTTTCTTTCTTTCTTTTTTTTTTTTTTCTTCTGTATAGTGTCTTGGTATGTAATGAATGTCACTCATGAAAAATGCAGTCTTCTGGGATGTGGCATTGTATAGATATTCTGTAAACTGATGTTTTGGGGGAATGTATTTTTGGGGTATAACATTCCACAAGTGAGGAACTAGCGTGAGTAAGTGGCTGCAGACTAAGTCACCTAAGTTGTCCTGTACCTGTCAAGTCTTCTCCACAGTAGGCCTTAGGGAAGAGAGTTGTCATGGACACAAGGATCAAGTATGAGATTTTGAAGGGTAAAGAATATCTGAGCTTTGAATATGTTGTCATCTCCTCCATAACTGGATTGCAAGTCTCGTCTTGTCTCTTGGGATTGACCCACTTTAGTATTAGGGAGGTGTACGAGGGGCGTTCAGGTTCTAAGGTCTCCGATTTTTTTTCTCAGGACTGGGGGCAGATAGACATATGCGGATTAGTGTAAAATACATGTGCACTCTTTGTGAATGCATGACAGAGATGGCAGCACTGTACGGCACACAGAACTCTAGTGGTGGCGGCGAGCATGACAAGTGTTTTTGATACTTAAAATGGCGACATTTTTGTTACAAGAACAGCAAGTAATCATTCGTTTTCTCCACTTGCGTGGTTCGACACCCATTGAAATTCATCACCAGTTGAGTGAGACATGTGGTGATGGTGTCATGAATGTGAAAAATGTGTGTTCGTGGGTGTGACAGTTCAAAGAAGGCCGAACGTCGTGTGATAACGAACCAAAACAATCTTGGCCTCTCACCAGCCGGTCTGACAACATGGTCGAGCGAGTTGAGAAAGTTTTTTGGAGGATCGCCGGTTGAGTGTGGAAAACATCGCCTAGAAAGTTATCATTTCCGTGGGAGCTGTGCACACAATCCTGGATAAAGACTTGTGAATGCGGAAAGTGTCCTCCAGGTGGCTGCCACAAATGCTGGCGGACAACCACAAGGCTGCGCGCATGGCAGTTTGCCAGGCAATGTTAACACGTGATGAAGGCATGAATGGGACTTTCTTTTCATCAATTGTGGCAATGGATGAGACATGGATGCCGTTTTCCAATCCTGAAATGAAGCGCCAGTCAGCTCAATTGAAGCACACAGACTTACCGCCACCAAAAAAATTTCGGGTAAGCACCAGTGCTGAAAAATGATGGTGGCCGTGTTTTGGGACAGCAATGGCGTAATCATTACTCATTGCGTTCCAAGGGGCACTACGGTGACAAGTGCATCCTACCAAGATATTTTGAAGAACAAGCTCTTTCCAGCACTGCTAGAAAAATGGCCCGAAAAGGCTGCACGTGTGCTCTTTCACCAGGACAATGCACCAACGCATCCAGCGTACACGACGCAGCAGTTTCTTCGTGAAAACAACCTTAAAGTGGTTTCTCATGCTCCCAACTCACCTGACCTGGCTCCTAGCCATTTCTGGCTTTTCCCAATGATGACAGACACTCTCCGTGGTCGCACATTCACCACTTGTGCCGCTATTGCATCAGCGATTTTCCAGTGGTCAAAACAGACTCCTACAGAAGCGTTCCCAGCAGCCATGGAATCATGGCGTTGACGTTGTGAAAAATGTGTACGGCTGCAGGGAGATTACATGGAAAAGTGACGGAAGTGTCAAATTTTTTGTATGATTATTGAGTGAGAAAAAAATCGGAGACCTTAGAACTTGAACACACAACGTACATGATGGTCAAGACAGGACGAAGTAAGCAAGCAAGAATTTAATATACAGCATTGCTTTATCTTTTTCAGAGATGATGAAAAGTTTGGGCTTTGCGAGTGCTACATTGGTCCGACCTCAGACTTCAAAGAAAAGGAGGGCTACAAACCAAATGTTAAACTCGACTACACAGATTATGATGGACATGTACTTAATACAAAGGAGGCTTTCAGGTTAGCACAGATAATAGCATATCTGTTTTTAAGATAGGATACACTGTGGAGGGTAGCCTGTCCAATGGTAGTACATTCTTTAGAGCAGAAAAAGTTTCCACAGTAATTGCCATTTAAAAAAAATTCCAAGGAGGAAGCAGTTTTTCAGTGGAAACAGACAAGATAATGGGACTACCGTATTTATCTTCTTTGTGTCCCATCCTCACGATAATGTGTGTGAACCAACTGGTGGATTTATGTGGAACTCTGTAGTGTCATCGTGCCACTCGCATGTTCTTTTAGTTGTCTACCATCAGCCACATTAACATGGTGACTAAGTTGGGAGCAACACTAGAGCCACTTAAATTAGGTCCTTAAGAAAAAGGTTCTGGGGTAAGCTGTTATACCCATTCAGAAGGTTTTGAGTTCAAACCTCATTTGCATCTCTGTACAGATTTTTATGCTCACAGATGATGCCTTTACATCTACCAGAGTTCAAGCTTCAGGAATACAAAGGATGCCCCCCCCAGTGGATTAGAACCCATGTTAAATTGTAGGGTCCCTCTGCTGACCAGCACTATCATGATTACCCTATCATGGGTGGTGAGATTATTGTCTTCCACCCCAGATGCTTTCAGTAGAACATTTTGATATATACTTGTTGTATTGACTTCCTTTTCTCCCATTCTGTATGTGACAGTTTGTAACTAGCCAACATATTGTGACGTTTGAGTGTGTAAATACTTTGTACTTGATATAGTTTGTTGTGTAGGCACAGAATGTGGCAGAATGGTTAATTTTGCAGATAGGTTGCTTGAATTAGGAAGAAACATGCCTCAAAATTATTTCAATCCCTACGACTTTAATGTGCTGTAGCATGCCCATTTCTGGCAATTGGCTGTATGAGTAAGTTGTGTTGGAAAACACAGTGTTACATATTTTTATTATTTCACAAAATAACAGATTGAACTTATATGGATCATACCCTTTTTTTCTGGCTGAAACTTCAGGATGAAAGAATTTTACATGTTACTTGGAAACATGGCCACATTCTGTAAGATCCTAAAATACAGTGACTTTAATTTTGTCTCTATTTCTGATTTCAGATACCTGTCTCATGAATTTCATGGAAAGGGACCTGGCAAAAATAAAGTGGAGAAACGAAAGAAGAAAACTGAACAGAAGGGAGTGAGTATCAGTCCAGATCTGGTCATGAGCTCTCATTTCTAATACAAGCCGGAAGGTCATGGGTTCAAGTCCCGATGAAGTCATTTCGATTTTTTCAATTGACCTAATCCTTCCAGCCGCACTATGGCCCTGGGGTCGACTTAGCCTCTAATAGAAATGAGTACCAGGAATATTCTTGCAATATTCTTGGGGCTAAAGGGCGGCTGGCGCATAGGGCTGACAATCTTGCCACCATCTGTCAGCCGATTGTCTAGAAAATGTGGGTACCTCAACATCTCACAATCGTATGGGCCTCCATGGCCTGTTACACTGGTAGCTTTACTTTGCTTTAGTATAGTGTAACACCCTGCTGCACTTCATTTAGTACCAAATTGTTTCACAGTCTCACGTGCAGCATGTCCTTTTGTAAAACTTCCTAAAAGTTATTCACTACGTATTTCGACCTATAAGGTCATTATCAGGTGTTTTAAAATTATAAATGAGGAAACTGCTATGCTTCCATATTGTGGTTGTTGCTCATCACTATGCGGTCCCTTCTATGTGCATGTATATATGAAGTGGCGGGTTGTTATGCTGCGTGTCCCTCTTGCACTGCATAACACAACAGGCAGAGCAACCCGCCACTTCGTATATACATGCGCATAGAAGGGACTGCATAGTGATGACCAACAACCACAAGATGAAACCACAGCAGTTTCCTCATTTATAATTTTAAAACACATGATGATGACCTTATAGGTCGAAACATGTACTGAATATAAAAGGACATGCTGCACATGAGACTGTGAAACCATCTGACACTATTTCTAAATGGTGCTCCATAAGGAAGCAAATTTTAGTTATCGCTACATACCCACGATTCCACATAGCAGATAGATATCCATCCACACTTTTTGTGCATTCATTTTCTGCTGACTACAAACATACACAGTAGCTTCAGTCCTGGGACAGAAGTGAATACTGCAACTTTGTGGCAAGTCAGATGGAGCCTCCTCATAAAACACCAGCATATTTGTTCAGTTGTCATTAGGCTAATAGACATAGACACAGACCATGAGTTGAAAATTGGGAGAAATTCATGACTTCAAGCAGCAGACTAACTTAAATTTGACCAGCTGTTAGGATAATCAGTGATAGGAGCTGCAGATATTACAGAATGTTTAAGGGCAAATAGACTGTGCCCCATCTGAAGGAGATTAATTTTTTTTTGTTTCCAGTTGATGAAACAGATGAGCTCAACAGGCACCCACTCGGAACACTTAGCCTCTTGCGGCAGAAGCAGAAAGAAATGCAGTCTCCATTCGTGGTCCTTTGTGGTGGTAAACAAACATGAGTATGCTTATTGTCTGCATTCATTGAATAGAACAACCACTTCTAATTAAAAAAAATTGTATTTATTAACTGACAGACTTGGGCCGCACCATAGCTCAAGTGGTTAATCGCTCGCTTCACACATTAGCGGCCCGTGTTCGATCCTGGGTCTGGTTAAGTGGGATTTGTGGTGGACAAAGTGGCGCTGGGGCAGGTTTTCTCTGAGCATTTCGGTTTTCCCGCCCAATCTTCATTCCACCAGTTGCTCCATAATCACCCTCACCTATCATCTGGAGCTGCTACAATATGCCAGAAGTGTCCGCAGTACAAGGGACTTAGTCCCACCCCACTAGCAATAGAAAACTGACAGACTTAGACACGAGAACACAGATTACTAGATGAAACCAGTGAACTCAATTCAAAATTTGTCTAATCTTGCCATTGCAAATAACAGTAATTCATAGCTTTAACTTAAAAGCTGAGTAGATGGGAAGCCATATAGTAATGTCGATAATGTCATATGGTGATTATACTGCTGCAAAGTAAATATTTGTTTTTCTCTGAGCATGTCACTTGTCTTGTTATAATTTGTAGACTGTACACTGTAAAGTGTCATTTAATGATGGATTGATTAATGAGACTTTGCTCCTTGGTACTGTGAAGCTTTAGTAAAAATTTCTGTTTTTGATGCAGAATATGAAATTTCGTTTTCAAAAAGAAAACCACCATGTGAGGTTTTTGTGAGATCTTCAAGTTTAACATGAGCATTACTACATTTTCTTTATTTCTTTCTTTTTCAGGGCAGCCATCTCAAAAACCAAACTGCAAATTCTTCATGAAATATGCTGACACCAACTCTGAACTTTGGCATGCACTTATGTTTTTATTGTTTCCTACTGTCTGGAATATCGTCTCTATTTATAAATAAGACACAGCTTGCAGCTGCCGACAGTGCCTATGTGTACTGGAAGGAAGGCCACAGAGTTCATGTCACATTCAAATGAGTACAGTGGTTCTCCTGCTTCCTTAGGTAACCTGTTGGCACCTGTAAGCTGGAAAGTACAATTTCTAGTGATTAGTTGCTTGCTTATAGGACTTGAGCCAGATGAACAGCCTCTAAGCTAAATCAGACATGAAGTAATTATATTTGACCATTCTTGATTGCTCTAGCCATATTGTATCCTTCCAACTGAAGAAGGAAACCCTTGTTCAGTTAGGACAGTATGAAAAGCTGTAAAATTACACAAGCAACAGAATCAGAAGATGTACAGTCTACTGCAAATCATTGTAAAGCAACACTGATATATCACTGGAACATTTGTAATGGGTTATGTTGAGGTATGAGCTCAATAGACGAATGCCAGATGCCTGGGACTCAGCATCTCAAGATGAGAAGAACATTTACATATCGGAGGTTATGTATTTTCAGAACAATTGGCAAGCGATCTTACTTTCTTTTCACACCTTCTCTTTTAATACCTCATATAGCAACAGGCGTGACCAGAGTGGTTTGAACGGCTGTTGTACTGCGATGTGGAAAGCAAATGGAAAAACTACCACATTATCACTTTTCCTGGATAGTCTCTTTCCAAAAACAGAAGATCGCAGTGGAGTAACTGTTTTGGAAGAGACTGTGGACCTGTCGTCTGACAGATTACTGATGAATGAATGAATAAAAGTAACTTGGTTCATCCTGGTCCATCACACTAGTAATTGTATATAAGGTTTTAACCACTGTTTAGTGTGATTGATAAAAGTTGTTTTTAATTTTTCACGCTCTACATGTTTCGGTCAAAACGACCATCTTCAGAAGGATATTATCAACACTTATGGAAACTACTGTTACATGTCATACATATATATGTTATATCTTTTAACTAATATTAAGATGTACATTGATTTTTAAAAAAAAAACATCTAAAAATTATTACAATTAGTCTGTTTACAAAATAATGTTCAATACTTGTTTTAAACTGGAACCAATTTGGTTTCTTTTCCTTACACTTTTGTAATAATTTTAGATGTTTTAACAAATCAATGTACATCTTAATATTAGTTAAATGCTATAACATATATATGTATGAGACATGTAACAGTAGTTTCCATACGTGTTGATAATATCCTTCTGAAGATGGTCGTTTTCACTGAAACATATAAAGGATGAAAAATTAAAAACAACTTCTATCAATCAAACTGGACAGTGGTTGCAAATCTCATGCGGTTATAAGAGTCCTGTGTTTAATCCACATGCAGATGATCAAGAGTCTTCTGTAGGTATACAAAAACTCGAAAGACACGTAGACTCGGCCAATAATATTAGGTCACGAAACTGTGTAAGACTGATCTTAAGGCATCTTCTTGGAGTTGGTGATAATGTTTTGAACCCAAAATGAATATATAAGCCAATGCTGAACATTATCTGAAGTCTGAATTGTAATCCTGATGTGCTACTAATCTTCACTTAAAAAGGTACACAGACAGACTCCAGGTGTTCCCAAACTTACATTTTTCTTGATATCAGTAATGTATGACTGTAAGTTGACAACCTCAGTCACATATATTCCAGCCACCTAATTATTTAAGAGAGTTTCAGTATGTTTTAGTCTTTGTTAATAGAAATTAACTTGAAATCACATTATTACAAAAGTTGTTACATTTGTGTATTTCTTCATGAAATAGGGATTATAATTTAAAACGTGCACCTACTCCATTAGGTGCATGAAGAATATGTTGTTCAGTTAATGTGTTTATTTGCAAGGTTGGAATTATGGTAGGAGTTGATTTTAGTTTGTAACATTCTCACTCAGAGCAGTCTGCTTATGGTAATTGATGGTAATTTATTGGTCAGTATCCTGTTGAGAAAGATACGATAAAATAGTTTTTCTTGGTGTAGTATTTAAATGTATATAATCTTTAGGAAAAACGATATAAAAATGCTTAAATTTCATGATATGTTTGTATGCACTCAAAGTGTCACTGTAAACTTGAGGTGGCCACGTGCAGTTGGAGCCCAGGCAGGGCCACTGAAGCATCAGGCTGATAGCTTTAAATGGTTGCAATGGTAGACTTGCCATTTCTTATTAATTTGTACAGATTTCCTAACAGACTCACTACTGTGATGAAGACTTGTTCAAACAATGCTCTGAGAATTGCTTTCATTATGTAATGTAATTCATCTGCACTGATCACAATTCAGTTTAATCAGTACAGTACAATTACTGTATGGTTGTGGTGTGTCAGTATTTCTTGTTCATAAATGGAAGTACAGTCATCTACAAGCACCAGTGTTACATGCGAGATTTGAGATATTCATGGCAGTGATCATGAGGAAGTTGGAAGTGATGCTGTGTAGGTGGGTAGGAGTCTACCAACATTTTGGAGGAATGTACTGCCACCTTCATAAGGGTAGACTTCTACTACATACATTCTATCACATCCTGACTTTTCCACAGTATTATTGAGGACAAGTGTTCTGAAATGTAATGCTCCGTAATTTGTTTTAACGAACACTGCAGACAAATGTACTTCCTCCATCTTCAGGATGGAAAATTGAAGCTGAAGGCATTGTGAACCTCTGAAATGTCATTAAACTTCTACCAGCCTACACAGTATCATATTCTGTCTCTAACAGTGATATATCAAAAGTGCCAGTGTTTATAACAGTTTAGAAAAAGAATGCTGTAAGCTTTCTATTCATGTATGGCTAGTCATATTTTCAATTTCCTGTGGCATGTAACAAATACTGTGTACATCTGAAATAAAATTACCCTGCTTTACCTTTTATCTACAGTGTAAACCTCACGTTAAACACAAGATATGAAGCTTGCATGGCAGCTGCAGTGGATGAAATCTGCTCTGGCTTTCAACTGTGTCACGTATCACCGATGTCACACAGACATCTCTCTCCCTATCAGACATGGCTGATAGCCAAAGAATATTTTATCAGCTCATGTCACAGCTCTTTTCCTTTAACACAGGACTATGAGGTCACATTGCTGTCTGTGTATGCTCCCCTCCCAAACCTACTGATCCATGACTGATGTATCATTAAAATATTCCTACAGGTAAGTCAGTAGAAAGGAAACCTTACATACGAATGAGTATTTCGCAATAATGCTGCTGCTGCTACTAACAAGAATGACGGCAGTTTTCTATGGGTAATGAGTAAAGTCTTATAGACGCACCATTTTACCACCCACAGTATTCCAGCCACATCAATAGATTTTTTCTTTAATATTTCACCACACTAAAGAAGCTATGGATGAAGCTGAGCAAAATTTCCGCAATCAGGAATGAAATGGGAAAAAAAAACGGTACTTTAATAGTTTTTGGTGAACAGGAAAACCAGATACTTTTGTTTTGATGGCCTTCGATTATCAGGAAAACCTGATACCTTGAATGATCTTTAGGAGCACGGTATTTAACGGAAATGAGAAATTAAATTTAAAAATCCCGGTACTTTTTCGTTTTAATGGTCTTGGGTTATTTGGAAAACCCGATTGGTTTTTCTGAAAACCCGAAGGTTATTTGGAAAACCCGGAGAAAGGCAGTATTTGAGCACATTTTGTGCATACAGCAAGAAATGTAAACAAACCCGGTTACTTGGAAAACCCGATCGGTTTTTCTGAAAACCTGATTGGTTTTTCTGAAAACCCGAAGGTTATTTGGAAAACCCGGAGCAAGACAGTATTTGAGCACATTTTGTGCATACAGCAAGAAATGTAAACAAACCCCGGAACTTTTTGTTATCACCGGGTACTTTCCGTTGCACCGCGGCAAAATGTAAACAAAAACCAGGTACTTTCCGATGCACCGCGGCAAAATGTAAACAAAAACCCGGTACTTTCCGATGCACCGCGGCAGGAACATGAACATGCGGCAGTTACGCGACCATGAGTAATGAGTAACCAATCAGCATTAAGGGGCGGGGCCGGTTACATAGTTACTGCACAATCTATGGGTACAGCAAACGAAACCACGCCTCCAGGGGGGGAAAGGAGTTATCATCAGAAACCCCCCCCCTCATCACGTGACTGTGTTGCCACGAACATTAAGGGGCGGGGGCACATACATCCACATGAATTCGTGCCTGCAGCACTACTTATAAGTACAGCAGGAAAGTTAAACAAAACCCGCAATTTTTTGATGTAATAACCTTCAAGGGCATTCAAGAACACAAGACATGTTGCAGCTCTGGGCATCTGGCTGCAAATGTTGCCATATTTCCGAAAAATGAGTTACAGTAGACAATAAGCATCAATGGTCAGGGGCCAAGTCCATTTACAAATACATGAATGTAGTGCTAAATGCAAATATTTTGAAGATACAAGAAATGTATATATAACCCTGATTGTTTGGATCTTATAACCTCTAAAACCTTCAAGAGCACATTTCAAGCCAAAGCTGTGAATTTTCTGATGAGGATTAAACATCACTGCCACAGTTGAACATTTATCTCCTAGACAGGGTATGAGGATGAACTTTGTTTCTTCAATTAGCCATTTTTTCAAGCCAATTGGTCAGTTCTCATCCACTTTACACAGAAGACAAGCTTTGGACCCCATACCAACTATAGTATGAAACCTCATTATTGAACCTGTGGGGGTGCTGCACAAGGAAATGGTGCTTTACCCCTGGGATTAAGGTGGTTGTGGTCAACCAGTCAGCTGATGCCTCACAGGAGACATACAGAATAAATGATCTTCCCCAGAGTAGACATTTCAGCATAAATTTAAAGAGTTTACTAAACGAGGATTGACCACCTGGCTTGCATAGATGTTGAATCAAGGAAACAGAGTTTATCCTCATATCCTACCTAACACATAAACATTCATCTGCAACACTCCTCAGTAATCCTGTAGCTACAAATGTACTCTTGAAGGTATTTTCGAGGTTACAAGTTTAGACCGTTCAGGGGGTTGTTTACATTTCTTGCAGTTAGCACTAGATTCATGTATATTAACTTGGTTCTGACCGTTGATGCTGATTGGCCACTGCTTCCCCTTCTTCGGAAATACAGCTACATCTGCAGCCAAACTATCAACTCCCAGGCTGAAAGCTTGGGGATGCAGCAGTGCTGTGCTCTTGAAGGTTGTTGAAGGTTACTGGAACAAAAAGTACAGGGTTTCATTTGCATTTCCTACTGTACCTGCAAATTGTGCATTAATTATCAATTTCATGCATATTAACTTAGCCACACTTCTTCATAATGACTGGTTACTTTATTCTATTCCCATTCCACATGGACTTGAACCCATGATCTCGTGCATAAAAGCCTCACCACTGAGCTACGCTTGTCATGCTGGATCATCCATCCAATGTTTGTCATGACTGCTGTATTCAGTACAGGTTAAACAGTTTGGTACATCCAGGCTTGAGCTTTATACAAACCATTCATATTAAGTCGTGTAACACGACTGGTCTTGTAGTGATTTATTCTGTTTATTTTGATCATAAAGTGGACTCTTCAAACAGTCAGGCTCTGAGGATCTTTGTAAATTCACTGCACATGTAATTTTATGGGCAAATTCAACTAGTAGATGTGTGGGTCTCAGGCACTGGGCAGCGAACTTACCTTCTGAAGGTTCCATGTTCATGTCCACAAGGAATGCGACTGCAGCTTTTTATGCGCCGAAATGAAAGCATTTTTACTTACCTTCATACACACAACTAACCTGTATTCTTTCAACATGCTACCGAATTTTAATGTTTTGGTGTTCTCAAATATTCAAGATAGGTTTTAAAAAAGGACAAGAATTTCCAGAATTCACTCCCAATCATTTTTTAATGTTATTCATCCAACACATTAAAATTATTGAATATTTTAAAATTATTTGTTAACTGTATTTACAATGTGACTCTTCTGGCAGAAGTTGTTTTGTATGTTCTCATATACTTCATTTTATTTGCACCCTGTACATATTTTGAGTGCAGTGCCGCACTAAGCACAGGGACAACTTTGTTTTTATTTCTTTATTTGTTTTATTAAAGCCATCAGCACTCATCTGGGGTCATTCAATTCCAGTGATTCCTGACAGCCTGCTGTAAAGCAGAATTATGTATTGGCGAGGATGAAGGCTGAACTAGTTGGCTGCACTGTCATACATGCATACAGTCTCAGGTGACCTCAAATTCTGTTCAGGACATTAATGTTCTGGCCATATTGATCTGCATTTTCCTGTGACAACGCAAGACGGATCAATCTCTCCTGCATTAGAGGAGTCGACTGATCTGTATGAATCTATCAAATAAAACCCTTGACAATGTGCGTAAAAGTCTTATTTCCCTTTACATGTGTCATCTGTATCTGCACAGACATCATTAGGGTGTACAGGTAACAGGTTTTCCTAAAACATGAAGCAAAGACATAATCAGCTCTGAAGGGTATTTACAGTATTAAAATAAATTACAAATATCCCACCCAGAAGGATCCAAATAGCCTCACATATATCAGAATGTTTGTATTTGCTTCAGTGTATATAATTTTTGGATACAATGAATGTAAAATATCTTGCAAAAGTATAAGTCCTAAACTGTCAAAACATTCTATGGATTACGTTACAATTCAACGAACTGATTCATATTGCTTTCACTATGCTGCAACACATCTGTCTTTACCATAGCCAAGTTATGGCAGTCACACTGCCACAAACTTGTATCACAGAATTCTACATCAATATGATGCCTAACTGTTCACTATGGCTTGTCAGATTATTGAGGAATTAGCTGCCAAGAAATTTCTAACTGTACCAATTAGAAAAATGCCTTAACGTCTCCCCACCAACCCCAAAGCTGCAGCAGTTCCTATCCAATTTATACTTACAACTACCTCTGCAATCAGACAGAAACTTACGTATCTTACACAGACATTCTGAGTACCATGTTTGATTTGATGTTTTCATGGCAATGTCTATAAGGAGTTCAGGGCTCTGCATTGTAGCAACGTGTAGTTTGGAGATGGAACAATGTTTAGGAATATGTCACCTCAAAAACTTGGGGCTCTCTCCGAACTACACGTTGCTACAACTCAGAATGCTGTACTCTTCATTCCAAGTACCAGCTGTAGCCTCCTCACTGTCACCGTGCAATTCAGAAGCATCGACAAACACAGAACACGGAACTCTGTTCTCAGTTCCTGCACCTAACTCCCATGTCAAATCAAAACCAACTGTTACCTGCTCATGACTGTGTATTCCCTGTATGTGCAAGTACAATGTATACTCTCTAAGCGAACAAGTCTTCGGCTAAGATCTGCAATATGAATATGGCTGTAACCACAAAGATTTCAGTCTTCTGGGGTGTGACACCATGTAGTCTGGTGGAATGTTACCAACGTTTCTGAGGAATGTGAGACCTCCATCTTCAGGGTCTTATCACTTTACATGTTCTTCCAAAGTGGTGGTAACATTCTACCAGTCTACATGGCCTCACATCTAAGAAGACAACAGTTTTTCAAGTTACCACGTGTTTAGAAAAGGCCACTGTCAATTAATCCAAATTGTCACATGCTGATACTGTATGCAGATATGAGAGCCACAGTTTACAGGATGAGTTTTGGAAAGAGATATCATTGGCTGTACTTTATTCGATAGAAACTAGTAAAAGAGAGGTATAGTGCAAGCATACAGAGTCCATTTTTCATATACATAAAAACTTTACCAAATGTTTGTAACTTCTAACACTTCTCTAAACATACATGAAAGTAATTTAGGTCAACCGTAGTGGAAGCTGATATGCTTTAGACAGGTTTCATCATGGAACTCCCACATCACACTCCATCAAAATGCGTGTTGCCTGCGAGAACTGCAACATACAACAATGGGAATATAGACACAGTTTTGTCACAGAAAACGCTAAATTTTCTGAGCTATGAACATCAGCTTGGTCATGCTAGTATTAATGACCTGGGTGTTTTCTTTGATTCAAAGCTACAGTTTCACACACATGTTAATTACATATTTTCTGAATGCATAAAGCTTTTAGGCCTTATTCGCTCCATTACCTACAGACTTTCCTCCCTGGAGTGTCTGTATGTACTATACTTTACTTTAGTCAGGTCCAAGTTGGAATATGCCTCGGAAGTTTGGAACTCCACCAACTTGACTGATGCCAATAAGCTTGAGCACATCCAGCAGAAGTTTGCGTCCGTCTGTTTCTATCGCTTTTCCCTCATATTCCATATAATTATACAATACTGATGCTTAGAGAAATTAAGTCTACGTTCTTTACATAAATGGAGACATCACCTTCATGCACTTTCTTTTGTTCAGGTCTTTCATCTTAAATCCTGCACTTCTCTTTTGGAAAATGTTAGCCTTCGTGTTCCTCCCAGCAATCTTACAGACTTCTCATTGCTTGGTGTTTGTCCCTCTAATAAGCACTGTCCTTCTGCTCGATGTGCCTATGCTACCAACACGGTGAGTAAAGATCTCGATATATTTGCAAGCAGAACAGTTTCTGTCAATCACATTGAACCTAAGACTGTTAATAATATTTGATAATACTCCTAATATTACGTGTATGCATGTACGTAAAGTTTAAATTAAATTCGCTTAGTGGGGGGTGGAGTTCAACTGGGTCCACTCGGTAGAGTGGCCATTGATTGCCCTATTGTAGCCTGCCCTGGGTGATTAGGATGATGGAGAATTTTGTAGAATGAAGATTGGCAGGGAAACTGAAGTACTCGGAGAAAACCTGCCCCAGCGCCACTTTGTCCACCACAAACCCCACTTGACCAGATCCTGGCTCAAACCCGAGCCTCCATGGTGGGAAGCCAGCAACTAACCGCCTGAGCTATGGCACGGCCTGTGTATGTACATATACTGGTTTTGTTTTATTTTTCTCTCCTGTTACCTTTAATTTTTCTTGGAATTATTGTCAATTTATTGCCATTATATAAACTCTCAAATTTTGTATTTTGTTTTTTAATTATTTTTGTGTATTTCTATGTACTCTTGCCAACCTTCTAACTGGCCTCTGTGCTGTTAAGGTTGCATGTAAATAAACATGAATTGAATTATTATTATTATTATTTTTATTATTACTAGGATGTTGAGCTGCCACACAGATAAGTACAAATTAAATTGGTTATTGTTATTATTATTAACTTCTATGTGTGTATGTATGTGTATTGTCCTTTCACGTCACATAATAGCATAACCATTCAAAATGTACTTATTTTATTTTTCTCACCTGTTAATGCTAACTTTATAGTGTTTCTTGTAATTATTATTAATTTACTGCCCTTGTATAGTGTCATATTTTGTTCTTTAATTATTTCGGTGTATTTCTAGGTACTCTTGCTAACTTTGTAATTGGCCTCTGTGCTGTTAAGTTTGCACATAAATAAACATGAATTGAATTGAATTATTAATTACATTAATTGCATTAATGTGTCTTTGCTCCAGTGCTTACATTTAATTAGTTTTTGACTTCATGTTGTGTTTGTCCATATGCAATTACTTTTGTCTACACTGTGCAGTGTCTGTAATTGGCCTCTAACAGAAACGAGTACCACCAATCTTAGGGGAAGGGGGGTAAAGGGTGGCCATCACGTAAGGCTGACAACCTTCCTGCTATTTGTGAGCTGATTGCCTAGAGAAATTTTGGGAGCCTTGACATCTCACAACCCTAGAGGCCTCCATGGCTTCCTATAGGGATAGCTTTACCTCTAAAGTTCTTTCCTTTACAAGGAAAAACAGAACTACTATGGTTTTGTGATTATTTCCTTACAGTATCCACCAGATTTGAATATACAAACAAGTTTACACAGTATCAGATTTTAATCTTTCACAATGGTGAAAAATCTCATTCTGGTCTCCTAAGTTATGACACTGTGTTGCCTGGTAGATGGTTACCAGAGAACACACTGCCCCTAACTTCAACAGACCAGCAGAAAACTTTGGTAACAATGTCATAAGCCAGAAGACCATGAAGGAATTTCACATAAAAACTGATATCAGGCATAATGTTACATTGCGGAATCCTGTTGCACTGCTTAGATCTGACTTTGCATTTTACTTTGATGCCATCTGTGTGCAACGTCAGTTAACATTCTCTCACAGTTTTCTCTTTATCGTCACCACATGTTTCGGCCTAACCGACCATCTTCAGGTGTACAGGTTGTTGTGAACAAGGAACCTGCTGCTCACCATAATGCTGTTCTGTTTCTGTTATGTAGAGGCCTCGGATTGTGTCTGGTTAAGTGGGTTAACCATCTGTTTTTCGTTTAGGTGTCCTTGAGATGGGCATATTTGTTGTGCTGTGGTTGGCCATCAACACAACAAATTCCCGCCCCAGCAAGAACATTCAAGACAGCCACAGCCAAACAAAACCATGAAGCATACACCAGCAGCTCAAGGACACCTAAATAAAAAAAAAAACAGATGAGTAACCCACATAACCAGACACAATCCGAGGCCTCTACATAACAGAAACAAAACAGCATTACAGTGAGTAGTAGATTCTGCAATCACAACAACCTGTACACCTGAAGATGGCCGGTTGGGCCGAAACATGCAGTGTCAATAAAGAAAAGCAAGTGAATAGTACCCGATGTTGCACATCGATGGCATCAAGGCAAGACACAAAGTCGGATGATATCATGCATATGTGTTACCCTCTTGCAATGCAAACATAGTAAAGCAAGAGAGGCAGTTTGTTGGACAAATAAGTATCAGTCTGACATGGTCACACACATCAAACTGACATTTCTTCCTGTAATACTGTAATAGTATCTTCCTGTCATGCGTGGATCATAGGACAGCATAATGGACGTCAGACAAATGCTGTAACTTGCTCGTTATAACTGTAAAGCAACAACTCCTTCCTCTTATGGCAGACGAGTCACTTGAGGTCTCATGCTGGTGAGTCGCAGGCCTGAAACAATTACATGAATAGCTTTAAAAGACAGACTCTGATTTGCATGCGAATCTGTATGTACGATTTCAAACTTGATCCACTTTTAATTTCAACAAAATGTAAAACTTCTATGTGGCTTGCAATGACACAAAAAATTTATGGTTACATAACATTCATGCATGATAATACGTGGCACTCCCCCTCTCCTCCCACACACAAACATGTTTGCTGGTACTCTCAGGTTCAGTTTTTGCCTCAAGATTGAAAAATACAGAGCAATGGTAAATGTGTGAGACTTTTGACAAGCTTGTCAATACAGATTAAGTATTTGCTGGTATACATACTGGCCTAAAGAAAAGGTACTTATAATAACCAT